ACTGTAGGAGGAGTAGCATTTTGAAAGAATTTCACAGAAATTTTTATTTTTAGTAACCACGGCAACACCATTCATCGAAATCAAAAACCGATACACAGAATTATGTATCTTAGTGTATTCTACTTGTGTGGAGAGTTATACTGAAATCAGACCAAAACTGTAGGAGGAGTAGCATTTTGAAAGAATTTCACAGAAATTTTTATTTTTAGTAACCACGGCAACACCGTTCATCGAAATCAAAAACCGATACACAGAATTATGTATCTTAGTGTAGTCTACTTGTGTGCCAAGTTATATTGAAATTAGACCAAAACTGTAGGAGGAGTAGCATTTTGAAAAATTGTTTACAGACAGACGGACAGACAGACGGACAGACGGACGGACGCCGGACGCATTACTATCGCATAAGCTCTTCTGGTCTCTGACCAGTAGAGCTAAAAATCATCTTCTAAAGAATAGGAAAGCCATGATTAGTGATATTTATATGGAAGCATCCTCAGGTAGTATACATTCAAATTCTTTCAAATCATAACCCCCAAAGGTAGGTTGGGGTCTCAATGGTGGATCAAAGTTTTACATAGGTAAATAAAGGGGAAAATCCCAATAACAGAAAAAGCTATGTTTAGTCATATTGACATGTAAGCATCCTCATTGCATGTATTGAAGATTTAAATTTGTTCAAATCATGAGTACCCTTTGGAGTAGGAAGGTAAACAATGGTTAGTCAAATTCAAATTATTACAATTAAGTAATATATACAAACAAAATGTGAAAAAATCTTTAAAAATCTTTTTCTCAAGAAGTTATATGCAGTATTGATAATATTACTGACCTGTATGTTGTATAGGTGTTTGTCCTGTAGGCTATACTATATTTATATAGGATTTAAGGATATTTGTGAAGGATATTTGATATTACTGACCTGTATATATGTTGTATAATTATATGTGTCTCCTGTAAGCTATGGTTCTATTTTATATAGGATTTAAGGATATTTGTGAAGGACATTTGATATTACTGACCTGTATGTTGTATCCATGTATCTCCTGTATGCTATGTTTGTATTTAGTATAGGATTTAAGGATATTTGTGAAAGATATTTGTATTTTGTGTCGGATTTAAGGATATTTGATATTACTGACCTGTAGGTTGTATACTTGTATGTCCTGTAGGCTTTGTTTGTATTTTGTATAGGCTTTAAGGATATTTGTGAAGGATATTTGATATCATGTATGTTGTACCCCCCTTTTCACTGTTGGTCCTGTGTGTTTTTTTAGAATATTTATTACAGTGTACAATACAGGTACAAAGTGATAGCAATGTCAACATATCAACCTGATATAACAACACTTTTATTAACAGATGTACTTTTTATTCCCCCGTAAACGAAGTTGCAAGGATACACAGTTTTTGTCGAGTCCGTCTGTCTGTCTGTCTCTGTCTGTATTCCTTGTGACAAGACCTTTCTTTGGGTACCACCAAATTTGACCGTTTGACTTTGACCTTGGAGTTTGATCTTAAAGACTTGTTTTTAAAAAAATACCACACTTTAATTTTAGCCATAACTTTTGAACAGTTTGAGATAGGGCTTTCATACTTCACATGTCTATTTATTGTGACAAGACTTATCAGTGGGTTTAAATAGTTATGACCTTTTGACCTTGACATAAGAGTTTGACCCACTTTTTAAAAACTTAAATCTTGGCAATAACTTTTGAACAGTTAGAACTAGGAATTTCATATTTCACAGGTGTATTCCTTGTTACAAGACCTTCCTTTGGATAACAACACTTTTGATCTTTTGGCCTTGACCTTTGGAGTTTGATATACATTAGAGAAAATATAACCCTCACCATAAGCTGTCATACGGGGGCATCAGTGTTTCACAAACACACCCTGTATGACTTCAAAATGTACAGCAATTTTAATGTCAACCTGTCAACCAGATGAAATAATTAACAAATATTATTAATTTTAATTATTAATTAACAAATATACTTTTGTGACTTCGAAATACACATTAATAATTATGTCGACATATGAACCAGATAAAAAAAGCGCATTTAAATATTAACAAATTTTCTGTCTTCGAAATTCACAGTATAAGTGATGTCAACTTGTAGATTAATAATAAAATTAATGAATATACAAAATAAATATCTTGTTTTGTACAGTTATCCTTAAAGCACCTTTTAACACTACCCTATACAAAACAAACTATAATAAACCATTATAGGTTACTATAATATCAAAGTTTTTACTGTAATAAATCAAGATATAATGTCAAACTATATGAAACCAAAGGGTTAATTTTTCTACGAACATCAGGTTGTTTTATCAACAGTTAAATACAGTTCACATTATAATTTATCAATGAAAAGTAATATTTTACAACAATGAAAGAATATCAATGTTACTTTGTCGAAAGAATATCAAAGTGTGAAAAGGCCGAACATTGATCGATTTTTAAAAATATACGAACAATAGAGATCCGTGAGCACTGTTTAAACACGGACCCTCGGAAATTCCAGAGGTGGGATCAGGTGTCAGGGATGAGTGAGCACCATTCAATTCACTGAATCGTGACTGAAGATCTGGAAAAGAGCATTTGCTATAGATTCAGGGAGCTATAGGAATTGATCTTCATGTCAGGGGTTTAAATCTCACTGCAGGATGTGAGGACCAGAGGCTTTACAATGGAATTTACGACTTAGACTAAAAAAAAATGTTGATTGTAAAATTTTGAAAAATTAAGTATAATCTGTTTAAAAATTGCTGGCGTAAAAATATCCTTTTACATTCTTTTTTCAAAAGATTAAAACCATTCTCAATTTAGTATCATATATAGTCATATAAAATTAAGCACAGAATTAACTTTTGGTTTTAGTAGTAAGTAAACCAGAACCCATGCCTTCGGTTGAAACAGCATACATGTAAAACAAAAGTTCCATTACACAAAAAATGCTGGAAAGAAAGAGATCCTTTACTGCTTTTAAAAGGTCGCAGTGCTGAGTACCGATCTTGATTTTTTAACCCTCCATCAGCAAGTGGTGGCGTCTCAACGAGTGAAAGAATCTCGAAAAGACTTTTAAAAAGTATAAAAGACGTTAATGGTAACTTTACAAGAGTTAATTTTAACGTGATTTGAACCTTCATCGGAAAGTGTATGTCTTCCAGATGATTCAATATGCAGAAGCATGCTCTAATTTTGAAAAATTTTTGCATGTTCTGAAGCTACTGACATATAATTTGATGAAACAAGAATATCAACTTACTAACTTAGTCCTCTTTATTCTTGGTAGCACATAAGGCCGTCACCAGAGACTTCCATGCTGGTCTATCTTGTGTCCATCTCTGGACCTGTTCCCATGATCATTTGTTCACTTTTGACTTCTCCAGATCTCTTTGGGTCCTCATCTCTTTCTAGTACCAGTTGGTGTCCATCTCTTGGGGATGCAGGTTTTTTGCATTCTACATATATGTCTTATCCACGGTCATTTTCTTTTCTTTATAACTTGAGATAGAGGAGTGGTGTTGGTCTTTTTGTACAGCTCTTCATTTGAGGTGGTATTAAGCCAGAAGCTGTGTAATATTCCACGATGGCAACATGTCTGGAAAGCATCTAGCTTGTTTGAAATGGCTTTTGTAACTTTCCATGCTTCAGCACCATACAGGAGGACCCCAAGAACGCTACTCTTGAAAATCCTTTTTGGTATTTTCTATTATGATGATCTTTGCTGACCTCCAGGTGTTTTGAAGTGGAACATACGTTCCTGTTGCTTTAGATACCCGTGCTAGTACGTCTGCATCAGAATTTCCATCTGTGGCTATCTTGCTTCCTATATGACAAATTATGTGACCTCTCCTGTTTTTTCCCATTATTTGGGGAGATGGGCTCGTCTGATTTAGGATTGACCTTCATGATTTTAGTCTTGGTATTGTTTATTTTAGGGCCAATCTTTCTTGCAGTTTTTGCTATTTGGTTGGGGGTTTTTTCTTGCATATCACAATGTCCATGTAATAGCAGTGCTGTATCGTCTAGATCGCCAAGCTTCTCGGACATAACCCAAGTAATTCCTGTCTGCTTAATATTGGTGGTTTCTCGCATGATCCGTACTATTATATTGATATTCCACAGCCTTATTTAAAGACAAATCAAATGGTCGGTGAATGACCTTGTCAGAAGATAGTCTATCATTAAATCAAATACTGGTAATGAATACCTTTTTTTATACTAATTGTTTGGCCATTATTTTCACATAGATTTTCCTATTTATCTGATCCTGACAAGAGGCACATAGTGGGTGTGAACTGTCAACAGAAGATGCATACTCCTTCATGGCACCTGATCCCACCTCTCTTTCTGAGATTTGTGTTTGGTCAGCTCCTAATTTGTAATGCTTAAATACATTTTTGAGCTTGATTACTTTTTCATCTTCACATTTTATGCAGTGAGATAATACTTTGTTTTCTGTTGAAACCTAAACATTTACCTATAAGACAATTTATGCTTGTATTCTACAGTGAAATTGCTTTTTCTTGGGGAATTTTCATTGTTTTCAAGGTACGTAGAATGCAAAATTACAAATGCAATGTAACTCAACACTTCTCTTAAATCTAAATCAATTGGAAATCCCTACAAACAATATTTCTTTCTCAAACTTCCAAAAATTTGACCATGAAATGTGTGATTTTACAGTATCCCTGCTTGAACAATCATTATTCTATGGTGATAGAAATGACTGTAATCTTGTAAGACTTCCATTTGTAACTGCAGTTCAGTTATGTATATTACCTGAGTGGACTTTATCATCATAACAAGTTTTTTTGTTCTTTTTTATTTTTATTACTTCTTTTAATAAATATTTATCAAATCATTTACTTCAATTCGAGATACAACAATTAATTAAAGAAATTCAATTTTAGATACTACAAATTACTTAGATATTATTTCCTTTCCTTTTGTTTTACATGAAATATGTTTAAATTAATTCCTTATTTAAAAATTAATTGTAAAATAATTTCTAAAAACAACTTTCATGAAAAAAAATCTACAATTTTTACTACAACATTAAAGTGTTCAATAGAGATTCTGAGAGTTTACAACATCATTAATATAAATACATGTATAGCAATATCATATAACGTATATGTATATCCACTTTAAATTGCATTCATCTTCTGTACACTAGTCTTTGTTCTGTAAAGCCATGAAAAATTCTGCACATGTAACATTAACAATACATACATACATACATCCACTAACATGTTTAACAAGAACTGTGTTGTACAAGTCGTTAATAATCATACGATTAGTAACACCAGTGCAGAACAGCTGGATTCACTGACTCCAAAGTCAAACTTTCACTGTATAACATGCTTTCCACAGATAACCACAGATCCTGATGAGAGACGTCCCATATCAAAACCGCTGCTGATTGGGGTAGCTCCCGTACTGATTGGGGGCCATTTGTTGCTGAATCTGAGCCATCAGAGCAGCATTTTGTTGCTGTTGTGCCCCTGGTTGCTGACCAGGGTTGCTCATGGATTGTCTTTTCATGGCCATCAGTCTCTGTTGCTGCTGCTGCTGCTGTTGCCGGATTTGCTGGAGTTGCTGGGGGTTGGAGGGTATGTTCTGCATGTAGTTACTCTGGGGAATACCTGAGGGGCCCATCTGGGTGTAGTTAGAGTTTCCAGACCCCATTGTAGTTTGGCCACCTTGCATCTGACTTGGGACCATCATTCGACTGAAAAGATCAATATATATACCATGTTCAGTTCAAACAAAAATATAGTGAATTTAGGAATATAGTTAAGTTTTTTAAAAGAAAAAAAATTATCTTTGTAAGTTATGATTACAGTGAACTTTGATATAATAACAAAGAGATTTAAAAATGTAAAAAACTGAATTTGTGTCATGTAGAGGTTGGAATTGTTGTGTTGTATATACTTAGATGGCAGATTGAAATGTTGTCTTTTATTTACTTGTTTGGATATCTGCATTTTGTCAAAACGTTCTTTGATGGTTGACTGAAGTGTTGTTGTGCTTGCTGCTGTTGTTATACTTACTTAGATGGTTGGCTGAAGTGTCTTTGTGTTGTATATAATTACTTGGAAGGCTGACTGAAGTGCCGTTGTGATATATATACTCTTGAATGGCTGACTGAAGTGTTGTGTTGTATACTTACTTGGATGGCTGACGGAATTGTTGTTGTGTTATATATACTTACTTAGATGGCTGACTGAAGTGCTGTTGTGATGTATATATATACTTGGATGGCTGACTGAAGTGCTGTTGTGATATATATACTTACTTGGATGGCTGACTGATGTGTTGTATTGTCTATACTTACTTGGATGGCTGACTGAAGTGCTGTTGTGATATATATATATACTTGGATGGCTGACTGAAGTGCTGTTGTGATATATATATATACTTGGATGGCTGACTGAAGTGCTGTTGTGATATATATACTTACTTGGATGGCTGACTGAAGTGTTGTTGTGATATATATACTTACTTGGATGGTTGACTGAAGTGCTGTTGTGATATATATACTTACTTGGATGGCTGACTGAAGTGCTGTTGTGATATATATACTTACTTGGATGGCTGACTGAAGTGCTGTTGTGATATATATATATACCTGGATGGCTGACTGAAGTGCTGTTGTGATATATATACTTACTTGGATGGCTGACTGATGTGTTGTATTGTCTATACTTACTTGTATGGTTGACTGAAGTGTTGTTGTGATATATATACTTACTTGGATGGCTGACTGATGTGTTGTATTGTCTATACTTACTTGTATGGTTGACTGAAATGTTGTATTGTCTATACTTACTTGGATGGCTGACTGATGTGTTGTATTGTCTATACTTACTTGTATGGTTGACTGAAGTGTTGTATTGTCTATACTTACTTGGATGGTTGACTGAAGTGTTGTATTGTCTATACTTACTTGGATGGTTGACTGAAGTGTTGTATTGTCTATACTTACTTGGATGGCTGACTGAGGTGTTGTATTGTCCATACTTACTTGGATGGTTGACTGATGTGTTGTATTGTCTATACTTACTTGTATGGCTGACTGATGTGTTGTATTGTCTATACTTACTTGGATGGTTGACTGAAGTGTTGTATTGTCTATACTTACTTGGATGGCTGACTGAAGTGCTGTTGTGATATATATACTTACTTGGATGGCTGACTGATGTGTTGTTGTGATATATATACTTACTTGGATGGCTGACTGAAGTGCTGTTGTGATATATATACTTACTTGGATGGCTGACTGATGTGTTGTATTGTCTATACTTACTTGTATGGTTGACTGAAGTGTTGTTGTGATATATATACTTACTTGGATGGCTGACTGATGTGTTGTATTGTCTATACTTACTTGTATGGTTGACTGAAGTGTTGTATTGTCTATACTTACTTGGATGGCTGACTGAAGTGCTATATGTGATATATATACTTACTTGGATGGCTGACTGAAGTGTTGTATTGTCTATACTTACTTGGATGGTTGACTGAAGTGTTGTATTGTCTATACTTACTTGGATGGCTGACTGAAGTGCTGTTGTGATATATATACTTACTTGGATGGCTGACTGAAGTGTTGTATTGTCTATACTTACTTGGATGGTTGACTGAAGTGTTGTATTGTCTATACTTACTTGGATGGCTGACTGAAGTGTTGTTGTGATATATATACTTACTTGGATGGTTGACTGAAGTGTTGTTGTGATATATATACTTACTTGGATGGCTGACTGATGTGTTGTATTGTCTATACTTACTTGGATGGTTGACTGAAGTGTTGTATTGTCTATACTTACTTGGATGGTTGACTGAAGTGTTGTATTGTCTATACTTACTTGGATGGTTGACTGAAGTGTTGTATTGTCTATACTTACTTGGATGAAGCACTTTCTCAGATTTGTAATTTGGCAGTCGGCCTGGTAGAGGCAGGGCATGGTTGACTGATGTGTTGTATTGTCTATACTTACTTGGATGGTTGACTGAAGTGTTGTATTGTCTATACTTACTTGGATGGCTGACTGAAGTGTTGTATTGTCTATACTTACTTGTATGGTTGACTGAAGTGCTGTTGTGATATATATACTTACTTGGATGGCTGACTGATGTGTTGTATTGTCTATACTTACTTGGATGGTTGACTGATGTGTTGTATTGTCTATACTTACTTGGATGGTTGACTGAAGTGTTGTATTGTCTATACTTACTTGGATGGTTGACTGAAGTGTTGTATTGTCTATACTTACTTGGATGGTTGACTGAAGTGTTGTATTGTCTATACTTACTTGTATGGTTGACTGAAGTGTTGTTGTGATATATATACTTACTTGGATGGTTGACTGATGTGTTGTATTGTCTATACTTACTTGGATGGTTGACTGATGTGTTGTATTGTCTATACTTACTTGTATGGTTGACTGAAGTGCTGTTGTGATATATATACTTACTTGGATGGCTGACTGATGTGTTGTATTGTCTATACTTACTTGGATGGTTGACTGAAGTGTTGTATTGTCTATACTTACTTGGATGGTTGACTGAAGTGTTGTATTGTCTATACTTACTTGTATGGTTGACTGAAGTGTTGTTGTGATATATATACTTACTTGGATGGTTGACTGAAGTGTTGTATTGTCTATACTTACTTGGATGGTTGACTGATGTGTTGTATTGTCTATACTTACTTGTATGGTTGACTGAAGTGTTGTTGTGATATATATACTTACTTGGATGGTTAACTGAAGTGTTGTTGTATTGTATATACTTACTTGGATGGTTGACTGAAGTGTTGTTGTATTGTCTATACTTAAGTGTTATTTTGTTATATATACTTACTTGGATGGCTGACTGACGTGTTGTTGTGATATATATACTTACTTGGATAGCTGACTGAAGTATTGTTGTGTATATATATATATACTTGGATGGCTGACTGACGTGTTGTGTTGTCTATACTTACTTAGATGGCTGACTGATGTGTTTTGTTATATATACTTACTTGTATGGCTGACTGAAGTATTGTTGTGTTATATATACTTACTTGGATGGCTGACTGAAGTGTTGTTGTGTTATATATACTTACTTGGATGGTTGACTGAAGTGTTGTTGTGTTATATATACTTACTTGGATGGCTGACTGAAGTATTGTTGTGTTATATATACTTACTTGGATGGTTGACTGAAGTGTTGTTGTGTTATATATACATACTTGTATGGTTGACTGAAGTGTTGTTGTGTTATATATACTTACTTGGATGGCTGACTGATGTATTGTTGTGTTATATATACTTACTTGGATGGTTGACTGAAGTGTTGTTGTGTTATATATACTTACTTGGATGGCTGACTGAAGTGTTGTATTGTCTATACTTACTTGGATGGCTGACTGAAGTGCTGTTGTGATATATATACTTACTTGGATGGTTGACTGAAGTGTAAAAATGAATATACTTACTTGGATGGTTGACTGAAGTGTTGTATTGTCTATACTTACTTTGATGGCTGACTGAAGTGCTGTTGTGATATATATACTTACTTGGATGGTTGACTGAAGTGTTGTTGTGTTATATATACTTACTTGGATGGCTGACTGAAGTATTGTTGTGTTATATATACTTACTTGGATGGCTGACTGATGTGTTGTATTGTCTATACTTACTTGGATGGCTGACTGAAGTGTTGCTGTGTTGGCTGCTGTTGTTGAGGAATGAATCCCCCCTGTGGCATCATGCCTGACCCCTGGGCTCCGTTGTAGGACTGGTTATAACTCCCCTGGGTTATCATGCCAGGGTCCATAGAGGTGGACTGTTGGGGAATGTTGTATGAAGGGCCATAATTCTGAGAAATCCCAACTGTAACAGAAACAATACCAAGCCTTAGAATACATTTCTAGACATATCTAGTCTCACTTTCAAAAAGAATTAAAAATCAAATTATAATTGATTATTTCCGTGGAAAGTTAGAAATATGATTTTTTTCAAATTTCAAGTTACCACGGCAATAACACTCACTAAAAGATTTACTTTAAAACAATTCTTGATGTAGTAAGTCTATGTATATTTCCATTTTTAATTTTTTTTTCTCTGATATAACTCTTTGAAAGTTAGTAGAGTTGATTTCCTGAAAATTCTACCGGAATGTAAATTCAGCAAATCAATAGGTCAGGAGCCAAGGAGGCCTAATATGCATATAAATCTTGTGTGCATCTGTCTTTGTGACTGACTATAAGGAGGCCTAATATGCATGCAAATCTCGTGCAGCTGTCTTCGTGTTTGATGTCAGTGGGTGAGGACTATTGAAATTGGCATGGGAGTCCTTCACCTGTCATACAAGTTATCCCACGTTTCCCACTATCATTGATGCCCTGGCATACTATACTAACTAGATAGTGGTTCCTTAAGTATACCAAATATTACTAATATGACATCCCAGTTTAGAGACTATTATGATAAGCAACAAGGAAGACATCTAATTGAGATTGATTAATTAACACTGAGTCAGCAATATTTAAGCCATATTTTGGCATTGTTACAACATTAAAAGTTGACCAGAGGTTTTCTGCATTGTGAAACTTTTTTGATCATTTTTTTTTTCTTTCATTTTCAATAACATTAAATTATCTATTACCGGTAAGTAATTTTTTAATCATGTCTAGATTTTAAAAATCAGAGGGGTGAGTTTGTCTTGTTCTGTTTATTTACCTAGTAGTTCCCTTAATTTTTGTAATTAATAAGCAATCAGAATTTTAAATATTAATGAATCTTCATTATCACTTAATATTTTCTAAGAGTTAGAAATTTAAAATTAAAAAATGTTAACACAATTTTCATGGGGGATATGCATCTCTATTGGCTGTGACGTTATTTTCAGAATGCACAAATAGTTCTAAGGAATGTTTAAGCATCAATAATTATGTTTAATTTTAATTATGAAGAATGTGTTCATTAATGCTAGCTCTGCTCTTTTTTAAATTAATTTTAATATCTACACAGATATTCAGCTGAGAAATAAAAAGTGTTTATGAAAAGTCTATTTATAATCCCTATGTAAACTATACAAATGAAAATGGTTCATAAGATGACCTATTCCCTGGATTTTATGCCACGTTCCTTAGGGGTCAGTGTGCGGAGTACAGTGGTGATTGTAACATCACAATCAACACCACAAACTAGATCTGTCTAAATGGGATAAATACCCACTGCTGGGTTTTTCAGAACAGATACCAAGTCACTACAAGTATTTTATGGTTCTAGACATGTTCACAGTTTGTTAAACATGACTGTGAAAATTTAATTGCTCACTGTATTAATAAATAACAAACAAAGCCACATGCAAATTAAATTTAAAATACTAATCATCAAATTGCTTTTTATTGGATTGAAAGAACAAACTGCAATTATCTGTCATCTTTGTGAGTCATGAATTTTAAAAATAAAATGTTGGTCAACCGGGTGCACATCCTTATATGGTGGAAAATGACAGTTCAAATTTATGTCAAAATTACTCAAATTCCACCATAGGCCAAAGGAATGCCTTAGATTAAGAATAATACCAAAATTCACATATTAAACTATTCTGGACCCACCCCCTTTTATATATTTAAAGACCAACCCTTTTTTTTCTTTTCAAAAAAAAAAAATTCCCCCATCATCGTTCAATCAAGTACAGTTGGGCCTAAATAATTTGTACACTTTGTGTCTCCAAGCAAATTGTAATATAAAGAATCTTTATTACAAAACTTTTTAATAACTTTTACAATTCTATAATATAATGTTCCCTAAAAAAATTTCTCCAGGAAATACAATGTATGTCGTAAGGATATACAATAAATGTTAATTATGTTTTCCACAAACTTCCTACACAAAAGTAAAATGACATCCAGATAATGGAGCCCAGATTACCATGGCCTGGCTGGACAAACACATTAAATAAATAGACTACTGCTAACCTTGTGACTGATTCATTGAATGCATGCCACCAGAAAACATGCCCTGTCCCCCGTCTGATGAGATCCCGCGGTTATGGTTCTGGAAGGACTGCCTGATTTGTTGACGGACCATTCTATGGCTATGCTGCTTCTGTAACAGTTGTAGGGCCTGCATGGACTGCTGGTTGGAGTTGGTCCACTGGTGCATGTTGCCAGGGTGCCGTGTCCTGATCATCTGCTGAAGGGCCATCTTAGAGGGGGTCATACTCTGCATCCCATAGGGAGGGGCCTCAAATCGAGGGCCTGGGGGAAAAGATTACAGGAGTATTACAATAGCATAACATCTTAGAGGGGGTCATACTCTGCATCTCCTAGGGTGGGGCCTCAAATCGAGGGCCTAAGGAAAGAATTACATGAGAATTACAAGGCGTCATTTCAAAATGATATAACATCTTAGAGGGGGTCATACTCTGCATCCCATAGGGAGGGGCCTCAAATTTCAAAATGATATAACATCTTAGAGGGGGTCATACTCTGCATCCCATAGGGAGGGGCCTCAAATATCGGTCCTGGGGGAAAAAATTACAAGAGTATTACTAGACTTCATTTCAAAATGATATAACATCTTAGAGGGGGTCATACTCTGCATCCCATAGGGAGGGGCCTCAAATCGAGGGCCTGGGGGGAAAGGATTACATCAGTATTACAAGGCTTCATTTCAAAATGGTATAATACATTTCTTGTCTAATGGACATAAAATCATAGCCTCCGAAATGTTTTTCTTTTAAATAAAAGTATATCCCACAGTATTTGCCAAATTGAATTTTTCAACTCACTTCCCTTGAAACACAGACGTCAAGTTCTTTTGATATTCAAGAGTTCTTGGTTATGTTAGATATGTATGGACATACAAACTACTAGAAGGACATTTAAAATCTTGAGACTTGAAAAACATGGACAATTTACACATATAATGTTTTTATACAATCCTTCAGAAAAAAGAGGTCCATCTTACTGCCCTCAGTAAATCTCCTACCTGCTGGCATGGGCTGGTTGCTGTAGAACTGGGGGTGTTGCTGGGGCTGGGAGGGGTACCAGTTTGAGGGCTGATACTGGCGAACAGGAGGCTGAAAATTAAACAATTATAAGACAATTTAACAAACTGGTTTTTTTTCTGTAATATAAAAATTATGTAAAACATATTTTAGATATTAAATATGAATCCTCTAAGATCTAATACATGAGAGTTTTTCAATAAACTGTTAAGTTACATGTAGACATATCGTATAGGGTTTTGTGTTGGATATTTAAGTAGGATATTTGTGTGGTATTTTGTGTTTGCGATATTTGTATGGGAAATTTGTGTTGGATATTTATCTAAAATATTTTAGTAGGATATTTGTGTTGGATAATTGTGTAAAATATTTTTGTAGGATATATGTATGGGATATGTGTGTTGGATATTTGTGTTTGATATTTGTGTAGAATTTTTGATTAAAATTTGTGTAGGATATTATGTTGGATGTTTTTGTAGCACATTTGTGTTGGTTGGATATTTGTACTGGATGTTTTTGTTGGATATTTGTAAGGGATATTTGTGTTTGAAATTTGATATTCCTCAAATTGTATCTTGTATCCTTCCTTCACCCCTCCCCCCTCACTGTTTGCTATGTTTCTTTTGTAGATTGTTTGTAAAGGATATTTGTGAAGAATGTTTGTATAGGATATTTGTGAAGGCTTTTACAAGGTTATTGAAGTTAAATTGGCTGTACAAATGATGCACCAGCTTGCGAGTGCATTTGTACAGCCAACAAGTGTCAATATTCACCAGTACAAGTTAAATACCTCCTTTATTAAATAGCTAAAACATTTTTTATTTAATTATTTATATTTAATTATTTCAATTAAATAACTCAAATTAATACAAGTGATGTAATAAGATCTTTCAGTATCAGTATTTAAATTAACGTCTGTCCTGTAAGCATTCAATATCGCATCATTCCAACTTCCCTACCAAGCATTGTGGTTCGCTTATTGAGGTTTTACTGGGGCTAGAAGTACTAAATTATTTATCAACATTTTCAATTTGGTGTGAAAATAAACACACTTTACATAACTGTCGATATCTATCATAAATTTGCCTTTGAATGAATGTTTTGGGCATAGTCATAAACATGATACAAACTCATTATAACACCAATTTATTGAAAGCTAAAATTCTCTAGATTTTTAGGAGCTTTTGACAAAAGACTATTTATTTAGGGAAAAAAATAGGTATTGTATAGGTGTATCTCCTGTGGGCTATGTTTGTATTTTGTGTAGGTTTTCAGGATATTTGTGAGGGATATTAGCTTTTACTGCCTGTATGTTGTATATCTACTGTGGGCTATGACATTTGTGTAGGATATTTGAGAAGATATTTGATATTTGTATCCACCCGCCCCCTGCCACTGTTGATCCAGTTTGTTTTGTGGGATATTTGTAGGATATTTGTGTAGGATATTTCTGAGGGATATTTGTATGTTGTATCCACTCTGCCCCCTGCCACTGTTGGTCCAGTTTGTTTTGTGGGATATTTCTGACCAATATTTGTGAAGAATATTTGTGAAGAATATTTTGTATAATTGACCTGTTTGTTGTATCCCCCTGCCCCACCCCCTCTTCCACTGTTGGTTCTGTTTGTTTTGTGGGATATTTGTGAGGGATATTTAAGTAGGATATTTGTGTAGATTATTTGTGTCATATTTGTATCATATTTGCTATTACATACCTGTATGTTGTATCCGCCCTGCCCCCCGCCACTATTGGTCCTGTTTGTTTTCTTTTTCGGCTTCTTTTTCTTGTTTATATCCTGGTGGTGATTCTCACTCACTTCTTTGGGTTTGTCCTCCTTAAAAAATATCAACAGGAACAAGCTTTTGAAATGAATACAAGTAATCAAAATCCAAGACTTTATCATGTTACATACACAATGTTAATTTATTTTTAAAATTGCAAGTAAGGGCTAGGAGGTCTGTAGGCAAGTAGACAGTAACCAATGACAGGAATTTACGATTGGAAAAAAAAAATTTTTAATTCCATATTTTTCCGTAAACGAAGCTAAAGAACAAGGCATGAGTTATGGTTGATTGATTGTATGTTAGGCCTAAAATAAAAAAAATGGTTTGTTTGTAGTTTCCTGCCAACCCACTAAAATGCACCTAACTCAAACTTTTTTTCTGCCATTATTTGAGAAAAATTTTTTTTGGACGTTTCAAATTTTTAGGATGTTGAAACTTGTTTAAAGCTTTATTTACATAAAATAACCCTATGAAAATCTCTGGTTTGTAATCCAACAAAAACCTGATAACTAAAATTTATTTTAAAAAAAAACCATACCTACTTACCGACCCACTATAAGAATTATAGGTCGGCAACTGCAAACAAAAAATTTTTTAAGCTTGGCCTTATCTTCTTTCTCAAAATTTTTTACTCATATAGAGACGTCACCTGATACATTGTACTAAACGTAGTGAAGGGCTTCAAATTTGGACCTTTACTCAGCATTTGGGGCTATTGAGTATTGAGGATCATCTGCTGTGACACAGAGTCTAAGTCTTTAAAGTCTCAAGTGCCAAGCTCTTGATTTGCTTAGGGATCTGATCCTGTCTGTATTTCTTGCAAGCATATAATAACTGGCTTACGTTTATATTCAGTTGTGTATTGTGGTTCCTGAGTTTCTTGCAGTCTGTGCATTTAAATCATTGAATGTGTGTATGAGAATGAACTCACAGTTTTTTCAGGAACTGGTTCCAGGTCCTCCGGGGGTAGGGAGGGGGGATCCAGGAAATGAGCCAGGGGCTGTCGGAGGGAGTGAGTGTGATACAGCAACAACCTGTCAACAGAAGTTACATCTTGACGTCAAACAATGTCCTACTTCTGCTATACTGTTAAAATACACTAACCGATAAAGATAAGGTCAACAACATTGAAATATGGTCTCTTGGTTCAGACAACGAGTGCTTCACAGTAATGTACTTATGAACTTGGAATTCCCCAACAGACAGTATAATTCCTTAGTTTTCCTAGTAATGAATCATGAATCGTGGTTCGACCCACATAATAATTCATTATAATCATCCTTTTATGTAAACAATTGAAGGAGCAAAAATAAATATCAGGGTTTTTCCACAAACACTGTTTACTTAATTAAAATGCAATACTTTTTAAAGGTAAGAATGAACTTTTCATAGCACGTAAAACAAATCAAAGTCTATTATCTGGTATCTGTATTCAAAATGAATTATACACCTGAAACACCTGGCTCTTTGTCTCACCTGTGCTGATCCTCGTATTTCAGAGGTTTCTTTTCCTGTTTAACAGCCCCAAAGAAATGCCAAGACAAGGGAGGGGGGTTCTTGTACCCCTCAATCACCTCCCAGGGACTAATCTTCTCCTTCTTGGCCACTTGGAATCCCTGCAATGGAATACATATACATCCTCATTAACTATCAATTATCTTCTAAAAATTTATCTACAAGTGGTTAACAAAGAGAATAAAGGCTAGGTCCACAATTATATATTTATCAGGTAAAGCCATGAACATAAAACTTCAAAATAATTTCTCCTACTGCAGGCTTATCAACATGCATATACATCCTATCTATGAAAATTGTAGCAACATGTTTATCTTCTGTGGAAATCATTAAACTTTAGCTGCACTGTAATTTGTGTGACCACTGGCAACAAGAATTCTATCTTAACTCAGGGTTTGATTTTTCTTTCCAATTAGTCCTTATGCACAAAAGAGTAAGAACTAAATTTTAATATTTTTTTTTCAAAATGCATTGCACTCTTGCATTTGAATAGCACAAAATACATGTATGCTTTATTCCCAATATTAATTTGCATGATGTTTGCATGATGTTTGAACAAATTTTCATCTTAAGAAATATAGATTTATTTTAAGCCATCAAAGGGGGTGAAAACTTTGAGATGAGAAGTTGGAAGTGAAGTTCGGTTCCAGATTACTAACCTCTTTTTTGCCAAAGCCGTCATATTTGTTCCCTTTACTGTCCATCTGAGTTCCATGTGCCTCACAGCTGATCACCTCAAAGAACCTCTTAGGAATGGGAAGCAACTGGCGGATTTTATCTATAGAGTCTGACTGCTTGTCCCCGAGTTCTTTCTGTTTAAATAATTTAAAAGACAAATCATGCACAGGGATCTGTGGAAGAATTTTACAGTTTTTTCCCCTTAACATCATTTTTCATGCCTCTTATTCCTCACATTATTGTCAACAAGAAAGTCTTCATATTATTCCATGTAGTATATTGTACATTTATCAATGACAGCAACTTCAAATATTTACATTTGCAAATGTTTTCCTTTACATAACACTACTGAAGGCAAGCGTTTTTATAACTGTGTAAATACAGGTTTGGGGTCAAGAGGTCATAGATGTGCGTTTGGATAAACGTTCCACGTAATTTCTCTGTGACGTCATAAAGGGTCGACGTGCGTTTAGTAGATTACATACATGCCGTTGGGTTTGAAAAATTAACGCATTTCACACGTTAAAAGTAACAATCAGGCAAATATAAAGTATGAATAAGTCACAAATGTAAATATAAGTAATAAGGTATCATTTTTTGAGTGTTATTGGGATGTAAAACGGGTTGGGACATGATCAAATCTTCCATAAAACCCTTCGGGCTTTATGGGATTTGATCACGTGACCAACCCGTTTTACATCTCAATAAAACTCAAAAAATGATACCTTATTTCTTAATTAATTCTGTTTATGGCCTTTATAATTCCCCCCATTATTTTGCCTGAGGGTTTCTAATACAGTGGAGCTGCTTTGCACTGCAGAGAATTCAACTGCAAATGGCTAGTATTGTGAACCCCATTTTCTGCATATTACAATGATATCAGTCTCAAGGCAGTTTTATTTGATTTTTTAACTATTTGTGATTATCACATCTCCTTATTATTAGAGTTTTTTTGGGGGGGGGGGGTGTATACCTTACCCTGAGTTATTTGATGAGGTTTGTATACCTACCCTGAGTTTTTTTATCAGGTTTGTATACCTACCCTGAGTTTTTTGATGAGGTTTGTATACATCTTGTTGATATCTTCACCTCTGTCTGACCCCTCTGTTACCAGCGTTCCGTGTATCAGGACAGATAACATGTCCAGGATAACTGTAAACAGCTCACTAAAAATTAAAATGAATCAAACATCAGCTTCACTACACCTGTCACTGAGTGGGAGTAAAAAATAAAATGGATCAAACATCAGCTTCACTACACCTGTCACTGAGTGGGAGTAAAAAATAAAATGGATCAAACATCAGCTTCACTACACCTGTCACTGAGTGGGAGTAACCTATCAAACTTACAAAGAAATGAATCACATTCAATTATCTTTTTACATTGTATGCGGGAGTTTAATTATCCTAAACAGGTCTAAGTTTGTTCTTTGCCTTTAACATTTTTATATCTACATGTTCACCTGTCTATAACCTCACAGACAGGTAGCCTTTATATCATGTCAACAGTATCCCTGTAATACCTGTTAGACTGGTTCTCCACGATTCCACTAGTGACCAGTTGAAGCAGTAGCTGGGCCCAGTCTGTTGTGTTAGACATGTTTCTTTGTATCGTGTCAAACATCCCACCAACCTGCAATAGGATAACATGATGTCAATGGCGATGCATCAGTATCACTATTCTAAGGATGTGTATCGCTAAGAATTTCATATCGCAATATATCACGATTTTTTCCCAAAATATCATGATAATATCATGATATTTTTACAAGCAATTTTTACAATGATTTTAAATGAATAGTCATTATTTTTCTTAAAACTATACTAGAAAAACAAAATTTCACTTTTTTGGAAATTTTTTTGTAAATAAAATTAATCATGTTTGGAGGGTGAGATGCCATTCCTTTCATCTTTTACAACATTTTTTAGACTTTCTGCAATTAATTTGAAAGATTGAACAAATAAATAAACACATGTAATTTCTGGACTTTATAATATGTACCTATATATCAGTATTTAGGTCTCTGCATCACAATATGTATCACGCAACAAAAAAATCGCAATATACCGGTTTACCGATAAAATCTCACATCCCTACACTGTACTCAATGCAAGGATCATTTTTTTTTAAGCATATACTTACAAGAGACAACTTAAGCAGCAAAGCTTCATGAATATTCGCTCGGACTTTGAATTCATCAGGTGTTTTATCCTACAAGAAATAAATCAGAATGGAAGAAACTGGTAGAGTACAATGTACAGAAAGATCTTACTTTAACCACAAACTTCAGAAATACCTCCTACTCAATCATTTTTTTATCTTTAATTATTTTTCTAAGTACTGTTTGTACACAATGAATTGCTCACCAGAGCCTCCTTGCAGTTATTGATGAACCTTTCCAGCTGAGACAGAAGTGAGTTTAACAAGACTTCTCTCTGCTCGTCCTGTCCCTTCAGACAGGTCAGAATCAGACAAAGGAAGGGCTGGTGACTGAGGAGGGACTTACTGAAATATAAACAAGACACCATCAGGTGAAGGGAAACACAGACTGAATATTCAAATTCCTAAAGTTGGTAACAAGCATATGTATTGTATAGAGATATGTTATATGTTGACAGGTCAAGATGAAATGTGACTACAAATTTCCGAATTGGTAACCACCACACGTACAGTACTATCTTAAGAGATATATCCTGACGAGTGAGAATCAGGCGTAAGCCCATACCTCCTCTGACTCCTCTCTTTGTCCCGACCTTTGGAGTGGAAATTGTTCCCACTCTCTAGGACGTTCCCAGAGAGCTTCAATACTCGACCCTGGACTTGACTCGGGAGCTTAGAGATCAGGGGACCCACCAACCAGATAGCATCTGGGTCAGGCCTGAAAGAAAAAGGGTTTTTTAAAAGACTTTTACATGATGAATGTACAAGAATCTACAAAGATTTAATTAACTGACACAAAACTCTATGTCAACTCACTTCTGTTGGTTGGAGTCCATCTCAGCATGTCTGCTTGTTTCTGTCTGTCTATGGAAAAGTTCAATTGTTCCCTTGGCAATGTTGTCTAGCAAAACATTGGTATCCTAAAAAAAAAAATTCTACCATATTATTTGATCAAATAACGAATTCCTGCTAGATTTTGAGTTTCTCTGCAAAACTTTTCTGAACAAACAGATCATTCCAGAGTATTTTTCTCAAGAGAAACATTTACTGGAGTAGTAGTATCTAGCTTCAGTCTAATGTTGTTGGGTTCCCTTACCGACTGCGTGGTAGCCTGTTTGAAGAGCAGCTGTAGCTCCAGAAGAGACACCCTCAGCCCCCACATGTCCAGCGTCTGTAGAACCCGCTGTATGATCTGCTTGACGTCCGGTTCACTGCCGTCCACCTGATTGGGTACACCGTTAGGATAACAGATCATCTGCAGCAATTGCTGAGCCTGTTTGTTGGACAGCATGTTGTCCAGGAGTAGGTCGGAGCTCTGTACCCCCTCGGGGTCCTTCAGGAACTTCTCCTGTACCCAGTCCTGTTTACACATCTCCCTCAGGGCGTGTCTGGCGAAATCACTGAGACCCGCACTCTCCATACCATGCTTCCTCTTGGACGGCCCCATTATCATGTCCATGTCCTCCTCATCCTCGATACTGCTGAGGAGGGAGTGGAATATGTCCTCTTTGTCCTCCTTCTTACTGCTGGACCCGGACTTCGTCCTCATTTCATCACTACACAGGTCACCTTCAACAGATTGACATAAATGTGAACTGCATTTCTTATAATAAAGTCCAATGCAAAAAATTTAAGAATCTTTCCATGCTTAAATTGAGAAAGCACTTTCTGTTGATTATCTTCACTAGATCTGTACTTACTGAGGACCAGCATGGCCTTGAGGACAGCCAACACTGGACCCACGGTAATACTGTCATGAGCCGCGGCCAGCAGGTGCTTGTCACATGACCTCTTGATGTTACAGGGGGTCTTACTGCCCGGTCTTAGTCCAGGCGAGGTCAAGGTCATGTCAGAAGTCTTAAAAAGCCGCAGCAGGATGTGACAGGTTAGTCTGGCTCCATTCTCTGCATCCTGGTCTCCCGACGCTGGAAAATAAAGGTCATTAAAAGACTTAAGTTTTACAAGTTATCATTAAGAATTTAGTCTTAACTTAGGTCAATTGTAAAAATCTTATTCATAAAAATCACATTTCAAATTTGAAATCAACTTTTAAAACTAGACGGGCTGATATACAGTTTAGATTCAGAGACATCTCCCTTGTTGTTTTTTAAGATTCTATTTTGAACTTACCTGTTGGTCTGGCAGACAACAATGAAGGCAAAACAACATGAACCACTAGATCTTGTAATGAAAAGCAATGACGGGCAATCAAAATGGCAGTGAAAACGGCAAGAGAATCGTGAATGGACATGTCACTCACCTAAAAAAGCAAACATTTCCTTAGCTTAGAAATTTGTGAACATGAATCTTTTAAGATACCAAAGGATATTTTTTTCAATCTTCCTTTTGCTGAATAAATGGAGTTGCTCTTTTTTCCCTTACATATGGTTTTTACTTGAAACAAAGCAATAATTAAGATTATTCTAAAATAACTTGAAAAATGAGGTTTAGCACGTGTGTAAAAAAACAAGTATTTACACTTCACTTCATTGCAAACTTCTAATATTAATATTTTTTCTAAAGCAATTGTTTTGTACAACACGTTTTTGATTGGCTAATGCACTGATGTTTGAAGCAGTAAAACGAGCATTAACGAGAGTGAAAGCTTTTCATTATGACGTCATAATAGAGCGACGTAAAACACAATGTGCCGTGACGTATTTCGGATAACAAAACTCAACAAAATAAGACGTAAACAACAAACAAAATGTATAGATTGCATTAGAATGGGAATAACTATCATCTAATTTGGTATTTGCGACCGTTAATGCTGATTTAACGGTCGCAAACACAGTGCTCCAAGTTGCGACTAAAATGGTCGCATTTGCGACCCAAAAATTGATTTTGCGACTAAAAATGAAAACACACTTGCATTTTCGCGACTGAGAAAAATTTGGGCTGAAAACGTCCATTTTTAAGATCGGGATCGAGATTTTATTTCTAAAGATTCTCTATCAAGAAAATGTTTGAAGACATAATACTTTTAACAAAGCGTCACATGGACTAAGATCACGTAATGTTATGGCAGCATGCTGTACAAAGTCAATCGGAGTTCCTCGGATGACTCGTACCTCGCACATAATGAAGCGTAGCGGAGTCAGCCGAGGATTGCCGATTGGTACAAGTTTGATAGAACCAGAGACGTGTATAAATAATGATCCTGATAAAATGGCATCCAAACTTCGTAAACTTTCTAAGATCCGACCTTGTTATTGAAGCATTTGGTCAATTGCTTGCATATCACAATTAATCATGCCAATAAAGAGTGTTTTGGCGGCATTTATAATGACTATGTAATGGGTTAGGTACGTAGTAGTAAGTTAACATGACAAACAGTAGGTAAAGTCCTGTCTCAACAGCTGTCAAGCTTGTATTTTCATTTGATAAAATTTTATTTCTGTACTAAGATTATTTGTGTTCTTCTGTACAACTATAAGGGTACATGTATTCAATAAAAATATTTCATTCAACCTAGCAAATTTTTATAGTTACAGTAATAAGTAATCTTTGGTATAAGAAAGACATAATACATAATTTTATCCTTATTTAAATTATCAAGCTTTATTCACAAAATGTATTTTTTTTTATGGTGAGTGAAATATTTGATTATGGCGACCAGAAATTCTGAAATGGCGACCAAAAAAAATTTTATGTCGCCATTTTGCGACCTAAGAGCAAGTGTGACTTGGAGCACTGAAACATCCGTAAAACTCAGTTTGCGACAGTTAAATCAGCATTAACGGTAGCAAATACCAGATAAGAAGAATAGAAGATAGTTATTCCCTAAATAGTACAATATAAATGTATGCAAGGTAAGATGATACATTGATTTTTAATTTTTTTTCAAACTAAGTTGAAAACATGATTTGTTTTAAAGTTACTTGAAATAAAGCTAAGAGAAAGGCAATTTGAGGCAATAAAAGTTGCCATTAAATTTGATTTATAAAAAGAATAAAAAGATTTGCATAATTATATGTTAAATATTTGACTTGGGGTGGAGAAAAAATTTATCACAGTATTATGACTCATGTCAGAAAATTTTAATTAATATGCCACAAATATTTTCTTAAAAACCTCAAGAAAAAAATAAAAATAATGACACCTCCCTCATTCACACACCTAACAGGTGAATGCAAAATGAATGTAGTATACTAACAACAGTCACGCTTCATTGGATAAATTTACACCTTTTTATGACCAGGGCCGCTTATACTTAATAGAGTATAATCATTACATACATAAATAATTCCGTTATTCATGACTAGACGTTGACTTGTTCCGATCAGTTCATGAGTCAAAGTGATTAAATTAGAGCCCTTGGTCACTTGCATAAATAGCTATAATGGTGTGACCATTAAGGCTTAATTTACATAGACATTCTAAAGCTTGATCGAGCATTTATTAGTCTTGGAATAGGATATATACATTTCCCTTGAGGTCAAATTGTTTCTTTATGAGAAGTATGTCAAGTGAATCAGTTCAATTTAGATTTAAAAGTTTTCTATAACAGGAACAAAGTGAAAGGGAACTAATTAACATATTTACAGCTCTGTTGATGAGAAATTCAGTTACTAATTTATACATCTGTCAAGATGCTCATTAAACTACCTTTCATTTTAAGAACTATAAATATGTTCATAGGACATGAATGCCCTGCCGAGGATATATTAGTAAAGCAACAAAAAAAATTGTATTTTTTGTATTATAAAATTTAATCAGAATATCTTGAATAGTGATGCAGCTGAATTGCTTGCTTGGAAAATATAGGTCAGATCCAGCATCCGAAGCAAGTCTGGTAGTGCCCATCCCTAGATGCATCATCCATGCAAGTTTGGTTCAGGTAGGACTTATAGTTACTTGGGAATGAAAATGTAGGTCAGATCCAGCATCCGAAGCAAGTCTGGTAGTGTCCATCCCTAGATGCATCATCCATGCAAGTTTGGTTCAGGTAGGGCTTATAGTTACTTGGGAATGATAATATAGGTCAGATCCAGCATCTGAAGCAAGTCTGGAATGTCCATCCCTAGATGCATCATCCATGCAAGTTTGGTTCAGGTAGGGCTTATAGTTACTTGGGAATGAAAATGTAGGTCAGATCCAGCATCCGAAGCAAATCTAGTAGTGTCCATCTCTAGATGCATCATCCATGCATCTTTGGTCCAAGTAGGGCTTATAGTTCCTTAGGAATGGACCTGCTCCAAAAACTTTATCTTGGTCACTCATCTGGAAAATGTAGGTCAGATCCCGCATCCAAAGCAAGTCTGGTAGTGTCCATCCTTAGATGCATCATCCATGCAAGTTTGGTCCAAGTAGGGCTTAAAGTTCTTTAGGAATGGACCTGCTTTAAAAACTTTATCCTGGTCACTCATCTGAAAAATGTAGGTCAGATCCAGCATCTGAAGCAAGTCTGGTAATGTCCATCCCGAGATGCATCATCCATGCAAGTTTGTATCAACATGTGAAGTTTGATAACACCATCATGAATGGTATGTTTAAAAGTGAGCTAAACAATAATATAAGAAAAGTGAGGTCAAGGTCAAAGCAAAGGTCAAGGTCAAAAAATGTTGATGCAGTTGCATAGCTTTCATCAATATCTATCAGCATATGAAGTTCGATGAAAATATCTTGGATAGTTTCTTTGAAACTTAGCTTTGAACAGAGCTAAACGCAAAGTGTGACGGAAGGACGGAAGGACAGAAGGACGGAAGACGGACATGACAAACACTATATGCCCCGGCCATATTCATGGCGGGGCATAAAAAGTTGTCAGTTATACATGCAAGTGCTTTTAATACATACATTGATTTTTATACCCATGATAAAAATATGTTCATCAACTTACATCAATTTGAGTGAGGATATCTATAAATCCACAGCTAGTAGCACAGGAGAAACAGAGAGCCTGTAGAACTCCCAGCCACTCAGAACTCAAGGCATTACACCTCGCTGTCAACTCAGCACACAGAATAGACAGCTCATTCAGCCTGGAAAACAAGGAAACATTTTACTTCAAAGTTTTAACATAGAGATTTAAAATTTCCCTAGATACAGGATATATCTTACTGACAGAAGAATAGTCATATGACAATCTTGAGACCAAATTCAAATCTAAAAAATATTTTCTGCGAGCTAGGGCTGTTTTGTCTGATAAGTTTTTGAAAATCTGTGATACATGTAATTTTCTCCATGGTAGGTGCCACTGTGTGCAGCATAAGACAATTTGCTAGAGGAATACTGTTGTTTATTCTGCAACAGAAATTCCACTAAGACTTAGAAGCCAGAGACACTGAGTACCAGTAAATTACACCATATTTTGTTATACAAATACACTGTATGTCTGTGTTATCACTTCACTGTTTTATTATCAAACTATCCACACATGTGTAATATAAATATATTCACCTGTCTGTTTCCTGTGTGTTACAGATGTGCAGCATGGCATTACACACAAAGCTGTAACGGTGAGCAGGGTTCTCTCTCAGGTCATTGACAACTGTGTCATCCAATGGAATTCTACAAAACAATCAGAACATATAATATCCATGTCATTGACAACTGTGTCATCCAATGGAATTCTACAAAACAATCAGAACATATAATATCTATGTCATTGACAACTGTGTCATCCAATGGAATTCTACAAAACAGAGGTCAATCAGAACATATAATATTGAAGTTTAATAGGTATAAAGATTAAGTAGTCGTCAGGGTGCATTACATGAAGGAAACCATACTATATGCCCTGATTACAGTTGATTCATACAAAACATACCGTAAATCTGGAAATTTTTGCTGTAGATAAATTTTTAGCAAATTTGCGAGTTCATTGCATTTGCAAAAATATTTTTCTTAAAATACATGTATTTCAACAATAAATAATTGTAAACAAAGTAGTGGTCATTCGCAAAATTTTGAAACGTAAAAATTAATCAACAGCATTTTGACCCAGATTCGCAAAATAAAATCGACATAATTTCCAGATTTACAGTATTGTTTACAAAGCAACATTTTTAGTCAAACTAGTCCCTAAAGCACAAAGACATATACATGTATTAACAATTTTGTGATACATACTTGATGTAGGGCTGATTCATGAAGTTGACCATAAAGCTGGGGTTCCAGAGTTTGTTGGAGGCTGACGGGGTGATAGTGGCATACAGTGTCATCTTCATCTTTCTGTAGGGATTGCTGAACATGTCACAAAACTTGTCCTACAATACACAGAATACGTCAGGTCTTTGAAATGAAGAATAACTCTTACAGGTAAGTCACAGGAAATCTTTATGTCTATCCAGACCTTCAGATCTTTCTTACGGCCAAGTTTTTGCTTTAAAATGAATGTCATAGCCAGTTTAACAGCCTCATGGAGAAGAAACAGTTTTATTGAGGTCCTCAGACATAACTCACCTTCAGATAATTACATGACGTGTAGGCGTCATATAGATAGGCCAGGATACATCTCTCTGAGGAGGAGCAGTTTTAGTGAGGTCCTCAGACATAACTCACCTTCAGATAATTACATGACGTGTAGGTGTCATATAGATAGGCCAGGATACATCTCTCTGAGGAGGAGCAGTTTTATTGAGGTCCTCAGACATAACTCACCTTCAGATAATTACATGACATGTAGGCGTCATATAGATAGGCCAGGAAACATCTCTCTGAGGAGGAACAGTTTTAGTGAGGTCCTCAGACATAACTCACCTTCAGATAATTACATGATGTGTAGGCGTCATATAGATAGGCCAGGATACATCTCTCTGAGGAGGAGCAGTTTTAGTGAGGTCCTCAGACATAACTCACCTTCAGATAATTACATGAAGTGTAGGCATCATACAGATAGGCCAGGATACATCTCTCTGAGGAGGAGTAGTTTTATTGAGGGCCTCAGACACAACTCACCTTTAGATAATTACATGAAGTGTAGGCGTCGTACAAATAAGCCAGGATACATCTCTCTGAGGAGGAGCAGTCTGAAGGATTGTAGATCTTCCTCACCACACTGATCAGTCTGTTAAAAAAAGACATCATTAACATCCCCATTATCTACTGTATACAGGAAAATTATCGCCCCTGCTTCATTTTCACCCTTCGCCCTACCCTCATTTGTGTTTATTTAAAAAGAGGCAAATTCAAAGAATGCAGTATAATTTCTTAAACAAAAATGTGACTGGGAGATTTTAAAACGGGGCAAAATTGTTTGCGTGAAAGGGCAAAAATAAGATGGGGAAAAATAACCCTGTATACAGTAACTATATTGTATTTAGAACAGATTCCGAAAAAAGATCATTTGCAGTAATGAGGAACAAATCAAATCAGGTTCATGAGCTTAAAGCCTGAATTCACTTGTCATATGAACTTGAAGTTTGAGTTCACCTGTCACATGAAATAGTTATTTAGCTTACCCCTCGAAGGCTGTGATGGTGAGATCTGGGGACACCAGTAGGTAGGCGTGGTATTTCCTGAAGACACCCACAATACAGAGACATAGAGACGTGGTGTAGTTCCCGACTAGACTAGATTTCTGCTCCAATAAAGTCTCCTCTACAATACTCAACTCCTTCAACAGCTGTAAATCATAAAATCAGTCTCATTAATTATCTATGTGTGCAAGGGGCAGTATCTTCTTTTTCATGATTAACCTATGCATTATATGTGGAATACAAACATTGCAAGAAATCATGTTAACTGTTCTATCATACAAAAGTCATACTATGACTCCCCACAAATATCTGAAAAGAAGTAAATTTTTAACTGAGCTATAAATTTCTACTGATCTATATTAAGATTCTCTTCAAATACAAAAAAGACCATAGAGTTAAACAGTCACATCACAGTGAAAGTTTTCAGCTGAGAAATGTTTAACTGTATATCTGTTGTTAACTTTACCCCCAATATATTGTTACCTGTACAGAGAAATCAAGCAGTCCATAGATGTTGAGTGAGTATTCCATCAAGTCAAACAGATATGAGACATTTTCTACTAGGGGGAGGTAGAGAGAACTGCCTGCTGTAAAATTACTGATCTCCTCTAAGACAACATTCCTACACTGGGCTGTGACAAAGTGCTGATCGTGATAGGACAACTTCTGAAATTTGTTAAAAATTCCCTCAAACACGTTCTCAAAGTTCATGCTGACATTAGACAAGGAGTCGTTGGCATCCTTCTCTTTCCGTTTCTTCACGCGACCGAGTTCTCCACTAATAATGTCCACACAGTTCTTCTTGCTGAACATCTTTAGCACCTCCTTGCTGATTTTCTTTACGACATGTTTCGCATCATCCCTGGCTTTACCCACACCATAGAGAACGATCATTCGCTGGTTACACTCATGAATCGAGTCCTCATACGGGATTGGGAAGTGCTGGGCGTACAACATGTGACGTGACGGACCTTTCTGCTGCTGATCGGAGCTTGGCAGGGCTGGATTGGTATGATGAGGCTCTTTTTCTGACATCACTGACTTAACAGATGCTATTAAACACAAACAATTTGTCATAATTTAATACAAGGACAAGCCATTGACTGTTGTACAGTGCACATTGTTTAAAGATGTTTTCTAGTGTAGTCACTAAAGAAGTGTCAAAGGTCACCAAAAATTCCAAGCCAAGAGATTTTTTGGAAACTGTTTTGCTATATTTTGATGAGATTTTCTAATTTATACTGGCATTTACACAAAAGTGGCTCATGATCTATATATTACAATTATCATGATTTTTTCCAAAAAAAAATTTTTATCACCTGGTTCCTCTGGACTAGTTCTCTGCTCATCTTTTCCTGTCCCAAACAAGCTTCCAAAATCACTCAACTCTACAGCTGTGTGCATGTCCATTATGTCTACTTTAAAGTCATCCTGAGGCTGCCAGAAAAAAATTTGATATTGTAAAATCATACGTCAAATGTCTACATGCACAACATCTACTGTATAAGGGGAAATAACTCTCATACATACAATTTTTGTAATATATTCATGTTCGCCATAAAAATCAAAACTTCAAACATTGAATAATTTTCATATTTAATTTACAAGGTTTGTGCATATATGCTAAAAAAAAAATTCATATTTATGAAAACTCAAACACCAGCAATAAGCTGCTAAGAGAAAAATAAGCAATCATAACAACACCACAAACTTAAAACCCCTACACAGACTTTCCCATTTTGAGAATAAAGTATCTCAGTGGATCTAACCTCGTGTTTGACACTCTCGTTCTGACTCTTTATACTGGAGAGGTCGATACAGTCTGTGGTCACGGTCATCACCGACGGCGATGACATGAGGTCACCACGCGAGATCAGGAAACACATGTAGGCATCATGAGAGAAGACATCATGTCGGATCAGTTCACTGAACAGCTGAATAAGATTGGCGAAGCCCTGACGATCATTCTCATTGGGGTTGTCATCTATAACAAACAAAATCATCGTATACATATACTCACTGCAGTTATTTTCAGTGCACTGAGATATCTGACACACACAAAACTCTTTAAAGGAACTCTGCTTATTACTTGAATTTTTTTTATCTTATTTAAAAATCCCCACACAAAAATTCCTAACAAAAATATGGTACATCCTTAGAATCTTTTAAACAATTTTTCTTGGTTTTACCACAGCTCAATGAAAGGTGGATGAATAAGTCTTAAAATGGTAGAGGAAGAAAAAGTACCACGACTGATACAGAATTACATCTTTATCCTTAATGCTAGTTTACTGTGACATAACAAAATACAGAATAGGAAAGTTAATTAAACTTCAACATTTTTCTTGGAGAAGAGTTTGTATACATGTACTAACTACATGTACTTGAATGCTTAAGAATGATTTCACAGCAAAGCAAAATATTATATACATATAATATTATAAGTCATAAATAGACCTGTACTTCATGTAATATACATGTTTATTAAAATATTTATTAATATGCAGAAATGTTAGTGCAGGATCTATCCAAAGCTCTGCTTATGTATAAAACTATTCAAAGCAACTTAAAAAAAGAAATAATAGTTATACAGACTTATATATAACAAATACATTTGAAAGCAAAGACAGGAAAAGAGGGGATACAATACCTAAATAAGCATTTTATATAACATGTATAAGCTGTTTATGGCTCTCATTAAAATTCCTAGAATTACTTCCCTTGACAGAATCAGACCAATGGAGAATAAATACTCTTCGATGATAAATTTTATTTCTCCCTACCCAAATCGTATGATGCAAAAAAAACCCAGAAGATATTGTTTTCAGAAATTATATATGTATCGGTTTTTACATAAAAATTACACTTGTATCTTTCAATTTAAATGATTTAATGTTTGTCAAAGATCATTCTTTTTTTTTTTTGGACCAGTAAGCTGCTGAATTTAAATAATGATTTAAGATTTTTTTTTGAATGTTACTTTATAAATCTGCACTATCCTTTTCTTCTTAGAAATGAAATGACTCCCCTTTAAAATTTGCCTTATCCATATCTTCTGATCTTTGTCTCAATCTTTTCTTCTTAATTTTAATAGAAAAATTTTATAAATTGGAGAAAAAAAAACTGTCTTCTGAATGAAAATTGTTCTATTAAATCTATTGACACATTGGGGGCGAAGAACAAAACCTCACCCAGAGACGGTGCTTGTTCATCCAGATACGACATCAAAATAGCCTGAAAGTAGGGCGTTCCTGACGGAACAAGCGAATCGGAGCCTACAGACTCCTTATCATCCAATGCCTGGCTCTCGCTGAATTTCTGAAGCAAAAATAGTAGGAAATAAAAGTATAAAAAAGCCAAACCAAAGCGTTTGTCTACAGCGCCGTGCAAGTCTCACCTATGACCGGCGCCTTATCATCGAGATAACTCATGAGAACCCCCTGAAAGAGAGGGGTCTCAAACGACACCAAAACATCGTCCCCTAAACCCCCATCGCATTCCATGGAGTCATAGTCCTGGAAAAACAAAGTCTTACTCTCCATAGAGTTAAGGTTCTGGAAAATTAAAGCCTGGCAAAATTTTACACTGCTACATTGTACAATATAATTGTTATCACATGAAATGCAATCTGCAAGCCTCTGCTACAAATTACAAATACAAATAAATCAATCTTATAATTACTTATGAAAGTAAATTGTACTTTGATAAAATACAATATCTTAAAATCTTATAATAAAATACTGATAAACTTTCTCTATCCATTCAGCATTAATTCTTTTAAAAAAACTTGTCATTTTATTGAATAAGTTTTATGGTGACTTTTTCTTGATGTAAATGTTTCTCCACTGCATAGTGCTTCTGTTTTACATGAGATCCATTGGAAGTATAAATGAATACCATCATTGCCTGTAAGTCATTAGATTAAGGCCTACCTCACTCCTGACTTCTAGTTGTCTCTTCTCCAGCAGTTTAGCCACCACTACAGCCCTGTAGATACCACTCCTTCTGATGCTCACTGCCCAGTCAATAAGCAGGTGTATGATTGGTTCATCACTGATGAAAGGCTACAAAAGTGACCAATCACATAAAACATTACAAGGTACTAGACTTATGATTGGCTTATCAATAAAGTGACAATCACATAAAACATTACTAAGAAATTCTATGATTGGTTCAATGTTAATTCCCTTTAAAAGAATGACCCATCAAATACAAGCATTCTTTCATCTCTCTTTAGATAGAATTTTTCCTAATAAAATGCTGTTTACAGAGTTGATTAAGATGCTGATACATGTACTCCATTAAGTGACTACATTGTACATAATATGGTTTCACTTTTTTCCAGAAGTAACTGAATGTGCTTTAGTTAAACTTCTCTGAGAACACTCTATAAACTGATACAGGAATATATATTTCTGTGCATTCAGGTATCAGATATCTCGACTTAGTTACATTTTTTCAAGATTTAAGTTCTCATAGAATTATAAATCTAATACATGTATTTCCAATGACCATGATGACTCAGACAAAAAAAAAACACTAAAATGAGTGTGTGAAAAGAATGGATTTTTTGATATACCGTGTATTTGTGAAAGGATGGGTTTTAAAAAGAGAAAAAACTTTCTGTATTTAAGACTGTAGCTCTACTGGTTTGTACTTATCAAAAACCATTGCACTATCTTATGTATCTTTGTGTAGTCTACTTGTGTGCCAACTTATTTTGAAATCAAACTAAAACTGTAGAAGGAGTAGCATTTTAAAAGAATTTCACAGAAAATTCTATTTTTAGTAACCATGGCAACACCGTTGATCGAAATCAAAAACCGATGCACTATTCTATGTATCTTAGTGTAGTCTACATGTGTGCCAAGTTATATTGTAATCAGACCAAAACTGTAGAAGGAGTAGCGTTTTAAAGGAATTTCACAGAAAATTTTAATTTTAGTAACCATGGCAACACCGTTCATTGAAATCAAAAACCGATGCACTATTCTATGTATCTTAGTGTAGTCTACTTGTGTGCCATGTTATATTGAAATCAGACCAAAACTGTAGAAAGAGTAGCATTTTTCAGGAATTTCACAGAAAATTCTATTTTTAGTAACCATGGCAACACCGTTCATCGAAATCAAAAACCAATGCACTATTCTTTGTATCTTAGTGTAGTCTACTTGTGTGCCAAGTTATATTGAAATCAGACCAAAACTGTAGAAGGAGTAGCGTTTTTAAGGAATTTCACAGAAAATTCTATTTTTAGTCACTCTGGCAACACCGTTCATAGAAATTAAAAACCGATGCACTATTCTATGTATCTTAGTGTAGTCTACTTGTGTGCCAAGTAATACTGAAATCAGACTAAAATTGTAGGAGGAGTAGTGTTTTGAAAAATTGTTTACAGACAGATATACAGACAGACAGACAGAAGACATATCAACGCCGGACGCATTACTATCGCATAAGCTCTTCTGGTCTCTGACCAGTAGAGCTAAAAAACTTTCTGTATTTAAGAAAACTAAAACAATTTTATTAATGTGAACAGTGGCACCACAGGGATATATTATCACATGAAATATTAGAACTCAGTTGGCATAAAATAGGTACACAATGAAACTGGAGATATAGCATTAAATGACATAAATACAAAGACTTCGGAAGATCAAATATCAAACAAGCTATTCATATTGCATTTCTTGAAAAAAAAAAAGTTTAGTCATTACAAAAATTTGCATTTAGATTCTTGTATAATTGAATATGTGCAATATATAAAATAATAGAAAGTACACTTGTTATATTTCCTGGAAAACCAGTAGATACAATCATGTACACTGATATCTTCATATATCATTAAAATAATGCTGCCTTCAAACACAAAAGGGATTTGTTAATGAAAGGGAACCAAACAAGTCAATTTCTCACAGCAAAAAAACTGGTCCCCACAGCAAACCAAACTATCACTGTCAAACCGTTTTTTTTCTCTTGCTGACTGAACAAGATAAGGAACTCTATTCCTTTTGCATGACAGAAAAGCTTTATAAAATCATTTAGCAAAAAAAAAATATGCTATTTTGCTATAAATGGATTTCATCCCAGTTTTACGAGTAGCCAAAATTGCTTTATATTACTTAAATTTCAAAGAATGCATAGTCAACTGCATAATGAAATACTGAGTGATATTGAACATTTTCAATGAAACTTCAACCAGGAATGGCATTTCTTGATCATGCAAAGTGGCATACATATCAATTATACAACTGGCTTTGTTTCAAGTTTCCACATGCTATGTATGTATCCCACTGATATAGATCTTTTGTGTATGTATGGCTGAATGCTAGGACTTTTTCCCTTCACTCACATGCCATATACATGTTTACACAGCAATGAATTTCATATCAATTCTGTCCAAGGTCAAATCCAAGATTTTATAATTTAATACCTACTTTTGGTAATAATTCATCCTCCTAAAATTAAGAGTTAGTGCAATCAACTGGTAATTAAAGGCTTATAAAAGCTACCTCCAACAATAATTCAGACAAAATCTAAAAGCTTCTCATATAATACACTAATTTTTTATCTTATTCAAGCTAATCTTAACTACTGATTTCAAGTTTGACTATACATTCCAGAAGTAAAACACATTCCTTCTTCTATTCAGTTCATAGATTTCTTATGAGAATCTAAAATCTTATACTTTTAACTATACTGCAATGAATAAGAATACAATTACTATGTGCATTCCTCTAACTAATTCAATCAAATTTTTGTTGGAAGCCTATGTTTATAATCTACCTGATACAGCAGTCATGTACTAGATTTCCCTGTAACAATATACTATCAGTACCTCGTTTAACAATAAAGGAAGCCCCTCCCCCTGTAACTGACCTCTGAACTGTCCTTGACCTGATTAGCTGTGAAGATCTTGTGATAAAGCGTGTCCAGAGAATTCACCGTATCCTCCTTGTCAAAATTATGTCTGTCCAGGGTATCTAGAACTTCTAACACTCTCGTTATAGTGTTCCCTGAGAAAAAGTAAATAAAATTTAAGAATTCTATGATTCACTTGTATTGAACAATGTAGTCTAGTAACTTTTCTATGAGTACATTGTACATGCAAGAAAGAAAACAAGATGTGTTTGTGAAACACTATGCCCCCGATGGTAACACAATTCTGGAGTGGGACTTAGACTGAGGTGGTATACACTTACCCTTGACGGCACAATAGTTATGGGCATGGTTAAAGTTGACAACAGACAGACAGGACAAAAACAATATACCCCAGGGATCTTTCGATCCGGGGACATAAAGACAATGTACCAGTGCTTCATTGTGTAACTTATTTATTACTGTAAGTACCTTTAGTGGACTGCTGACATTGTGTACGGTAATTATTAATTACTGTCTGTACCTTTAGTGGACTGCTGACATTGTGTAATAATTAATTACTGTCTGTACCTTTAGTGGACTGCTGACATTATGTAATTATTAATTACTGTCTGTACCTTTAGTGGACTGCTGACATTATGTAATTATTAATTACTGTAAGTACCTTTGGTAGACTGCTGACATTTGTCTGAGGACCATCTGAGTTCGGCGGCTCTCCCTCTCTGTCTAATCTGGTTCTCTAACATCCGAATCTGGGCTCTGATCTGTGTACAGGGAACAAGCAAACAAATATCTACCTTAATACATAATATCTTCACTATTTACACCTGTATTTTCAAAGCAACCTGTTGAAAGATTTCTAATGGAGTGTGCATTTCAATCAATGAAATAAAAATTGATGTACAAATTAATATACTGTATATGATATTTACATGTAACTTAATATTTTATACAATTATTTATACAGACATGAATGTAAATAATAAAACATCTTTGTTTGTTTTTTTTTAGTTTGGAAGTTATAGTTTCTAGACTGCAAGTATTTACATGTTTTTTTTGCAATACTGAATAGCGACAGCCATTATTTCTATTATTACAGTCAAAGGAAGCAAATCATTTTTTAAATTCATTAGATTCAAGAAAAGATGTTTTGTGAATATTACCTGCATGTTCTGCGGCCCCTGGGGCATAGGTAGACTAGAGGGGGCACAGGGCAGCAGGTCGAGTGGTGATCCACAGAGGAATGAGGAGCTCTTGCCGTCCCCCAGGCTGTTCCAGACGAGGGCGGTGGGGCAGAGGAGGGTCACGATCTGGACCGTGGCACACAGACTGAGGACGATCCCGCGGTGCTGCGGACAGTTGTTATACAGGGCAAACACCGCAGACAGGGGGTTCTGGGGAAGTATCTGATTACTGCTTATACTGGACAAATAGACAAAGTGAAATTAGTCAATAGACACATTTATTACTGCTGTTATCTTTGAGAGAATATATTTTCTGCAAACACATTTTTTGCAAATTTTTCAATTTGTAAAAGGAGAGAAATTATAAACAATGTAAGTCTTTTATGTATGTTAGTATGATTTGATATACTTTTCTACTGTTTCTCATGGCAAACCAACATTTATTGTTCAATGAGCCTCGCACAACAACCTGTTCTTAACTTGGTTGGACAATGATGATGCTGGTATCAGACAGACACTGGTCACTTGTGAGGGGAGATGTATATACATGTACAATGTGCACCCCTTACCCTGTGGTTCCATTGGTCAACATGGGAGAATCGGTTCGAGGGGGCATGCAGTCCGCTTCATTACACAGCTGGGCAATCTTTTTAGCTGAGAAATGTGACAGTCTTCTGGACAAGATTACAGAGAGTGCTATCTCCTCCATATACTGAAAAATGGACACCAATAGTAAACTATATTTAATGATGAAAAGCTTTTCTTATCAATTTCATAAAAACATGTACACATGCTTTTGCAACATTTAAATCTCACTATGTACATGTACATAACACTTCTTTTAGCACTTCTGAAAGTAAATTAGGTAATAAAGAAATATTTTACAGATATTGTGATTTTAAAATAAAAAGCTCAAAGAAATATTTTTGAGATAAAATGTTGCAATAAGCATGATAAGGTGAATATGTTGATTATAAAGTCACAATATTTTGCAATACTATTGTTATATCAAAGTGATTTGTGATACTAGTTCTGGTATTTCGTTAAAAAAGAAATGAATCCATTGATATACATGTGAGTATGAAATTTCATTTTTTTTATCCTCCAGCAGTCAAACTATGAAACAATATCAATTGTACTCACCAGCAAAATCTGTGCCATCAGAAGCTTGAAGACTGTATCCTCATTTTGTTTCATTTTCTCCATGAGATCAATTAACCAGTTCAAGAACTCAAATCTGTCCAAAAGCCCCTCCTTACAACAGAAAATCAAAATTTTGACACCAAGTAAAATTAAAAAAGTTATTCATTTTTGGAAAAATTCTTACTCTTGTTCTCTCATTCAGAAATTTAAATTTTAAAAAATCTACGTAGATTATTTTTTCAATAAATGATAATTATACTAGAGACTCACATATAGAGACTTTTTAAATATACCTAACCACTAATTCATGATGTAAAATATGGTCTTTTCATTGCGTATTCTTTTTTAAATATTAAAAAGAATTCTAAACCAATTATATGTACAATTAAAATATACTACTTTCACTTTCCCATTTTAGATGTTTTGTTGTCATTTTTCACTGACATACAGGTGATAGTTGTCCCTGTATTACTTACATCATACATATGTCTGTCCCTGTGTATTACTTACATCATACATATGTCTGTCCAGTTTACAGGTGTAGTGCCACTGTCGAAGCGCCTGGTTGGGGTCTGGTTGGGACACAGTAAGGAAGCCAGCGGTGGAGCCGGGGCCACTGTGTGGTTCCTGTATCTTCTGAATCTGGTCCCGCAGATATTTAGTGATGGCTTGGCACCATTCTGAAAATAACAACAGTTGTCTTTTTTTAATTTGGTATATGGCAAATCATTAATCAATTTATTACCAAGAGAGCACCTGCAGCATTTTTCTTATTTCTTAAACTGAGACATAATCATTTGCCAGAAGTGATATTCTTTTCCATTCTCTTTGGTAAATTAGCCATGATATAATGGATTAGTACTTTTTGCATTTTGCAGAGACTACCAATATACATGTTTTAAAGTTTCTTTTCAATTTCCTCTGAGACCTTACCTATATCATAATAAAGAGTTATTACTTATGTTCAACTAAGACCATATCCTTTTTATAATAAAGAGCTATTTATACTTAAACTTCCCAGTGATCTTATATCACCTATATTTCCCAATGACCTTATCCATGTTATATAACCTTCACTTCCCAGAGACCCATTTTATAATAAAGAGGTATTACCTACGTATTTCCCAGTGACCTTATATTACCAATAATTCCCAGTGTCCTTACATTACTTACATGTACTGTATATTTCCCAGTGACGTTATATTTAATACCAATATTTCCTAGTGACCCTATATGAGCTTTATTTCCCAGTGACCTTATATTACTATATTTCCCAGTGACCTTACCCATGGATTGGTCCACCATCTGCCTACGTTGCTTCATCTTCTCCTGGACGGCCACGTTATAAGCTGCCGTCATCTTAATGAACCAGGCAGCCTTCGTCATCGGCACCGAAAACTCACACAGGGTGGAAAACACCTCCTCCTTCTTGTTAAATGTGGGCACCTGTAAACAAACGTACAAACTGAAACACAATAAAAACTGGGGTAAATGTGGGCACCTGTAAACAAACGTACAAACACAATAAAACAAGGTAAATGTGGGCACCTGTAAACAAACGTACAAACACAATAAAACCGGGTAAATGTGGGCACCTGTTAACAAATGTAAAATCACAATAAAACCTGGGTAAATGTGGGCACCTGTAAACAAACGTACAAACACAATAAAAACCAGGGTAAATGTGGGCACCTGTTAACAAATGTAAAATCACAATAAAACCGGGTAAATGTGGGCACCTGTTAACAAATGTAAAATCACAATAAAACCTGGGTAAATGTGGGCACCTGTAAACAAACGTACAAACACAATAAAAACCAGGGTAAATGTGGGCACCTGTTAACAAATGTAAAATCACAATAAAACCTGGGTAAATGTGGGCACTTGGTAACAAATGTAAAATCACATTAAAACCTGGGTAAATGTGGGCACCTGTTAACAAATGTAAAATCACAATAAAACCTGAGTAAATGTGGGCACCTGTAAACAAACGTAAAATCACAATAAAACCTGGGTAAATGTGGGCACCTGTAAACAAACGTACAAACACAATAAAAACCGGGGTAAATGTGGGCACCTGTTAACAAACGTAAAATCACAATAAAACCTGGGTAAATGTGGGCACGTGTAAACAAACGTACAAACACAATAAAAACCGGGGTAAATGTGGGCACCTGTTAACAAATGTAAAATCACAATAAAACCGGGGTAAATGTGGGCACCTGTAAACAAACGTACAATAACAATAAAACAAGGTAAATTTAGGTACCTGTTAACACACGTAAATTCACAATAAAAAAAGGTAAATATGGGCACTTGTAAACAAAACATAGGTAATCAAAGATTACGAAGCTCACCTTGACGAATGTTATCAGTTTAAGTAATGCAAATCTCACAACATATTTTCTTAACAGTTAGTATTTATCCTGAAAACAATTTTCAAGGAAGTTCAGTTTAAATAGGTCTTAAAGTTCATTGGGGATTAATCTGTTCGTAAAACTTTAATCTGGTTACTTGTTTGAAAAACGTAGGTCAGATCCAGCATCCGAAGCAAGTTTCGATTGTCCACCCTTAGATGAATCATCCATGCAAGTTTGGTCCGGGTAGGACTTATAGTTTATTGGGATTAACCTAGTCACTCATCTGGAAAATGTAGGTCAGATCCAGCATCCGAAGCAAGTCTGGTAGTGTCCATCCCTAGATGCATCATCCTAGCCAGTTTGGTCCGGGTAGGGCTTATAGATACTTGGGAATAGACCTGCTCCTAAAACTTTAACCTGGTCACTCATCTGGAAAATGTAGGTCAGATCCAACATCCGAGGCAAGTCTGGTAGTGTCTATCCCTAGATGCATCATCCATGCCATGCAAGTTTGGTCCAGGTAGGGTCTATAGTTACTTGGGAATGGACCTGCTCCTAAAACTTTAACGGGACGCCGATGCTAACACCGACGCAGAGGGTACAGCATAAGCTCATCTCAACTTCGTCGAGGTGAGCTGAAAATTTATATCACCATAATAAAAGGGAAAAGAAGGTATTAATAAAAGTAAATATAAAGATTCGATATCTGGTTAATGGACTGAGGTTGTGGGATAGGTTCTGAACAAAATATTTAAATTTGATGTACTTAAAACAGAACCTTAAGAACCTACCTTTCTTCCTAACAGGGACAGTGGTTTGTTTCCTGCCAGATCTTTAAACCAGGCTCTCATGGCACTCTGATTTTTGGCAGCCTGTTACAGAAAACGTTTTTAATTAATAACAGATTTCAAAATAAGTGAAATAAACAAAACTTTGTTGTCTTTTCTACGATACTTTTTCTACCTTAACTTAAATTAAGTGAAAAAAGATTTGCAAAAAACTTACTGGCCAAAATATATCCTTTGTTGGCATCTGTTTCTTTTTTGTCGTGTCTTGAAAGGTGTTAATCTCAGTCTTTTTGTTGAGCACTGATATGAAATCTTTGCCAAACTAAAATAAAAACATTTTTATTGGTCAAATATACATAACAATTTTCTCATAAATAAATGCATTACCTCAATTATCATACATTAACTTAGATAAAATATATACAGTAAAATATTCTTTTTAACAAAGTTTTAGCTTTATTAGTTATGCTTCTTTAAATTATGCACAAGAAATAAGAAAATTTTGAATTATTCTTCCAGCACATTCATCATGTCAGGGTCAGTAATCATTATTACATTCTCTGAACCCCCTGTAGATACCTTTTCCTGACTGATGTTTTCTCTTCTTGCCGACCCATACTACAAAATAAAGGTAAAAATTGCATTTTAAGTATTTTGTAGATTACATGCCGGTGATATACCTTTGTTCTAGTGTTTAAAAATACATTTGATTAGATAATCTATTGGATAACCACACATGTCAAATATGTCTAAATTCTTTCCTGTTTATCCTGCTAATAAAATTTGATCAGTTTATGATGCTCGTACTTGTATAACATTTGTATATTGATGACTCTACCACTCAAGTTTTTAAAAACATAAATAATTTACAGACCTCATCCCAACCAATAGGAGGGCTGTTGTTGAACCCATGCTTTACACTTGTGGCTGTTAGCTCATCCTGTAAAGAATATTAAAACACAATGAATTAGCATGAACAATAATGAAAAAATAAACTTAAGAAATGTAATCCTTAATGAAATTAATAAAACAAAATGGGGCAGGGGTTTATTGGTGTGCATTGTAGACTGCCCAGGACAGTGCTGCAAGGGCCCCTCGAGTCTGCACTGGTTGTCTAGTTACTTTTGCTGAGTGCCTCAAATGAAATCAACTGTGATTGTTAAAAGTCAGCCACAAAAAATGTCCTAAGATCAACTTTATACCCTAGGAAACTACTGAAAATTGACATTTTCTGGGTTCTCTTGACAAGATGTTACACTTTTTACTCGTTGTCATTAAGGGGGATGTACAAGCCATATTGGATGTAGTCTGGTGTAAAATAAGAAATACCAAGAATGCGCTTAATACCCTACTAAACTAGCCCAAAGTTACTCAAAGTGCTAATGCATTAATTACCTACTGTTAGAGACCAAAATTAGTAAACAATTAAGTTTATTTTGTTTTAATTAGGAGGAAATTAATCATGTTAGAACTGCGCAGCTACAGCATTTACGAGATGATAAATGCCTTGAAAATGGTGTAAGTTTGATTCATTGATAATATGGCTACAACCATTTGTTTCGCTTTTTTCTTGTCATTATCCATAATTCTTGAAAATTTGATTTTTCATATGGGTGTCTTCCTGAGGCAATGTGTTTATTTCGTCCGCCATTCCTCTGTCACACAGAGTTCGAATAACATTGATTTTATAATAAATGCGACCATAATAACACCAAGACAAGAAATTACTAAGTAATAATCAATAGGTTATATTACTTACTACTTTTATTTGTTGCATCGCATCATCTGATTAATGAAAAAACGCGATTTTAACCCCACTCCAGCAAATCGGGAAAAACTGTTCTGTTTACAGTTCGAGTTTCCTCGATAAAATTATTCCACTGAGCACGTGGTTGGCATGTGCAAATATCTGCTGTGGATAGATCCGTTTATTACCATGATTATATTTAATTTTTCATGGAACAAGTCTTGATAATTTGTTGGTTTCTTTAAAACTCAAGAAAAAAAGATATAAATGTCCTAAACATATGTGTTTACAGCGGGTCTTTTTTCTGTGGCGTTAGAAGTTATTTTCAAATGGGGCACTGCAAGGAGGATGCTTAGCATTTAATTTGAAAATGTTAAACAATATGCGGTGCATGAAAAACAAATTGTAATTACTTGTCTTACATTCGAAAATTGGTACATATGTATATTTTGTTTAGAAGTTAGATAGAAAAAATAGGCAGTTATAGGATTTCCTTCAGGCACCTCACATAAATAGCTAGATTGTTTGCAATGACCAACACATTGTATGGAGTAATGTTTGGACATAAAAACGCATCATGTCTCATTATGTTGACAACGTTATAAGCTCTCGCTCATTGAACATACGAAGCTTGATAAAATATATTAAATAAGTTGTTTCTTTGAAAATTAGAAGCGAGTACAATGTTTGCAAAGAAAGGTCCATTGCATATGCTATGTCTATCATCGCAAAAAAAGAGAGAGCCCCCCCCCCCCCCCCCCCCGAAAATCCTATGTTTGTTTTTCAAAATAGTGCAAAAGATTAAAAAATTTTGCATTACTAAGTACGTGATGGAATATGTACTAGCCTTATAAGACCACTTGTTATAAAATATTTGGTTGCCCTCTCTCCCGATCTACTGCCTGGTCCAAATGGCCTGACTTTTTTTTTTTTTTTTACATCCCATTAAATGATATTTTTTTCTTTTTCTTCCGTCAACAATTATGTTTGAATTTTAAGGAATTTCTTTCTCACCTATAAATAATAATTTTTCCCTGAGTTTAGAGGACCACCAAACGTCATTTTAAAGATGGTATAAAATATCTAATTATGTTGATTTTTTTCTTTGTAAAATTTTAATTTTGACAATATGGGCAAATAGAATTTTCGTCACAAGTAACTGCATGACGTCATTTTCAGACTGTGACATCACAAACAAGGAACAAAACTTCAGCATATGCTATTTATAGAACTTGTGTTTGGCTATGTTTCTAATCTGAATTGTGGTTTTGTAGATATAGAGATAGTTCGAACTTTTTGATCACCCCTCGTACTAGTAGGTATTAAAACAAGGTCATTCATATCGATTATATGTGTCTTATTTCTTTTGTGTTTCATAGGTGATAATTAAAATTTTGATAGATGATATACTAGTAAGTTATCTATGGCAAACTTACAAACTCTTAATTTTTAACTTTGATGGTGCTTATTTTTCCTTACCTGGAATCAAAGACTTTAAGATTTTTTTTTATATCAATACGTACACTATTTAACAACTGTTCGATAATAATACTAAATAAATTACTTCAAGCAACACTATAACATCTTTCCTCTTTTAAAAGTGTTCATATTATTTGAAATATTTTGCAACTGTAATTCTCTTCTACATTTAAAGATAGTTATGTCCCTCCATATTAAGAAGAGGTCTGGAAAACAAAATTCTGTGCTAAAAATAGACCACGTGCTGCTATCCATGAACTACTTTCATGGTTCTTTGCACTCTTTTTGAAGACAACGGTGCCTTGTTTTGAACTTGAAATTATCATTTAAAAGTGCAAAATTTAGTCATTTTCTCAACAAATGGTTGTAGAGAGAACATTAATGCACAGTTTGCGTATTTTTTTGGATTTTTTAAGGCTCTGCTGAATTCTGTAGCTGCGCAGTTCTAAAGAGCATATCAAAAGCATTTTTCTGCAAAAGTATAGATTATATATACACAACATGCATTCAATTATGCATATTTATTGTATCTTTATCATAAGGACTTAAAATTTGATCAAAATATAATGTATTTTAGCCATTTGAAGAAATGTTTACATTTTGTTCTCACTTCACTAAAGGTGGCCGGACATCCCCCTTAAAAAAAAATAATAATAAATTATTTACAGCAATTTAATCTTCTGGATTTCACATAATGAAATTCTAAGTGAAACAGAACAATAATCGTCATTCATTATTTTCACGGAGTTTCAATTATAAATGCATTTAAAAATTCAAAATTGAATTAAAACAATGGCAACCACAAAGCATCTCTGCTCGTCTTTATTATAACATCGTGTTGTCGCTCCTACATTTCTTCTCGGGAATTTTTGAAACTAAATTACCTCTTTTTGTTTTGTATCCTGAGGATAAACGTCAGGAGGCCCGAGCCTGGGCTTCTTTAAAGGTCTGTTTTCTTGTGATGGAAATGAAGACATTTCTACTTACTCCATTATTTTTCCTCTGAAAAACGCTTGAAAGTATATCGCGCGATCCCTTAATATAAAGCGTTTTGAAGACCCGGTGACTTTATTAGGCGTTATATAAAACATTACTAATCTTAGTTTCAGGCATGCTTGAAAACATTGTAAGGGTAAGGGATTGGACGAGATGCGAGGACAGAATCTAAGTTCAGTCACGATGCACACTTCAATTTTCTGAAAATTTTAATATATTTCCACTAAAGAGGATTTTTTAATCAAGTTGTAATATTCACCCAGCGAAATAGTTCCCTAAAACCTTGAAAATTAATGGGTTTTAGGGATAATATATATATTTTTAAAATTAATTGATGATCCTTAGATCTATCAGTAGATCTATCAGTAATTACAAAAAAATAACAATGATTATATTAATTTCAATTTTTAGCCGTTTAATTAAAATTTGTACAAGACTCATGTACACCGAGCGTACTTGACGAAGGTGCTAGAAGCCTACCGACAGACAACTCTTAATTTAAAGAATGCATTTGCACTGGGAAAATACATGTGTTTCACTAACATAAATGCTTTAAATCTTTCATATGTTTTCAAAATAGATAGGTGTGTGCCCATGTACCATGTATATTTTTGTTAGTAGCTTATTTTCCCATGCAGCCGTTATATTGAGGAAGAATAATCACAGTAATTGGCTGTATAAAGCTCAATAGGTACTTAGTCAGTGTTAGTTACGTATACAGAGTCGAAATTACATGTACTTCGACTGACGGAAATAAATCAATGTTTAAATACTAGAATTAATACCTTTTTGTTAAATTTTATAAACCAGAAGTGAAAAATATTGAAAAAGAAACAGCAATAATAGAATACCTTCCTTCTTATATTTTAAAATATGAATGCAGATGAATTAATTGATAAATCTCCGGAATATTTATCTTTTTTAACTAAGATTGTATCTATGTCATAAAAAATGTAATTCTTAAATAAAATTTCCGTGTTTACTTTTCTCATGTACAAACAGGAAAGGAATCAAAGTAAAAAGTATTTTATATGTTATTTAAGAAATAAACAACGTTATTTAGTGAACATGGCGTTATGAATAGCAATTGCTCTGCTGGCATATTCCATGATGCGCGCTAGCGCATCATGGAAAATATGCCAGCAGAGCTATTGCTATTCATTACGCCATGTTCACTAAATAATCGTTGTTTATTACTTATATTTGCATTCTTTGATGTTTTCAAGAATATAAGAGGAAATCCTGACTTACATAAGGACGCAGCTTCTTCTGTCTTCAGTAAAGAAAACCATACGGCTTTAAAATCAGTACACCTGTTCAATACTCCTTTTCTCTAATAAATCACAATTTATAAAGTATTTCCCTCTCAAACACAGTTATCTGGATGCAAGCAGCACCGTCATAACATTCTCTTAATTTTTGTTTTGATGCAGTCGTGACGTCATTGAAATCAACGTTATTGAAATCATCTGACAAAAATAAGTAATTTAACACTATGATAAAAATGAGAATGCTTTTATAATGATTATTACTCCAGTATGCTTTTCTGTGATTTTTTTTTTTTTTTTTTTGGTATTTTTTCTTATTTTTTTTTCTTGAAAAAGATATAGATCTAGATCTCTTTATATGTTATTACCCAAGTGTGAAGAGTTATCGTTCTTTGTACAAGTATGCATGATACGAAAAAATAAAAATATGGAGTTCTAGTCAATTTTTTAAAAGTTTTATATTACAATTAAATACATTGACCAAAATTAAATTTTTAAAGATATCAAACAGCAATTTAAATTGTTCTGAATTCCTTTTTTTCCAAAAAATATTATTAAAAACTTATTTTTAAAGCTTTTACGAAACACTTCATATATATACTTCTCAACACCACACACATGTGTAGTAGAACTTGTTCTACACGGGTGAGCTAGAGCAATTGCACTCATAGCAGAAGCAGTTGCGTCTATACTCCTATGAACGCAGTTGCTGGCTGCATGTTCATAGTGGGAGAGTGCAGTGGATATGCAAATATATATTTATGCAAATATCAATCCATTTATATACATACATAAACATAGTTTTTACTATGTTCATTTTAGAACAAGGGTCGGGATAGGGTCAAAGTAAAATGTAATTTCATTTTAGAACAAGGATCAGGATAAGGTCTAAGTAAAATGTAATTTCATGTCAGGATAAGGTCTAAGTAAAATGTAATTTCATTTTAGAACAAGGGTCAGGTTAAGGTCTAAGTAAAATGTAATTTCATTTTAGAACAAGGGTCAGGTTAAGGAGGCTGGGGGGTCAACAATTTAACCACAAAGTAACCACCAGATTTAACTTATTTTTTTAGATATGGTATCTTAAGCTGTCAACATTCATTTGACAAAGAAAAAAAATCATAAATTTTAGTTTTAAATTTTGATCATTTTCTATATCTTTATATGGAGCTCTCCTTTTAAAGGAGATAGAAATAGTCTGAAAATGGCTGCCACCCCCCAGCCTCGTTAAGGTCTAAGTAAAATGTAATTTCATCAAAACCTAACAGGAAGACTCCTTTAATCAGGGACTTCTATTCCCATAAAATGCTGTGACATTCGGGAGCTGGTGGTGGCAGTATCAGCAAAGGCCATCCGGAGTTGACAGAAGACGGTAACAGTATACAGTTAGTCTAGTCATTCTACTGAAAAATGAGAACTAATTGCAACAGTTCATATATTAATGCTGATTTGTAGATAAGCTATTGGTAACTCACATATAAAAAGTTTAGAAAAATTCACTCAGGGGAAAGTTGGGAAATCGAAAGATTAAAATTAGGGATCAATATGAATTTAGAATTACCCATTTGCACACCGTACTTTTTCTATATGAGCTTTCTATGACAGACAGCCTGTAAACAATAGCCAATTAGCATTAAAAGTTGTTGTTTTAACCTGTAGTTTGTTATGCAGTCAAAACTAAATCCAAAACATTATATATTTTGATTTTCAAAGAAGTGAAGTTTTGACTTCCACACCGGCCAAATATCATCTACACATATATAATGGTTGCAATTACCATTCATATAAACAAAATGTATGGAACTCTGTTTGTATTCACAATATACATGTATGTGAAATACCTAAATGTGAATGTGTTTACTTTCAATCTATTTGTAAACACCTGATGGAGATTTATACCCCAGTAGTTTTGGAATTTATACACAAGAAACAAAAAATGTATGGAACACAGTTTGTATACAAAATACGTCAAAACAGCCTTTTCTAAAGAATTCTGCAAGGAAGCTTATCAGACAAGTACAATGTATATCAGAGTTGTAACATGCATCATCACAGAATATATTTTGATTAAATATCTAGAAAATTTATAGAAATTTATCATTTTGAAATAAAGAGTACAGAATTTATGCAATCATATGAACAGGATTTGATTTAAAGGTCTCTAAGTTTAAAAAATCAAATATTTAATTCCATTCAGGCATCTCTGGAACTTAAATTTGAACTGTGTGATTCAAACAATTTTTTTGCTCTACAGATTTACTGCGTATTGCTTTTGTAAAGAGTAGCGAACCTTATATAAAAAGCCAATTGATATTGACCTTTCGTTTTCTCTATAAAGACTGCACCATGCATCTATACATGTACAAAAGCTGCATTATGTTTATAGTAATGGAAATAATTTAAATGGAATCGTTTAGACATAATTAAATGCTTAAATGTTCTTTTTTAAAATTCTTAATGTAACTTTTTAAAATATTTTAAACCCATTTTTAAAAACTTAACTTCTCCTTGTAGATCATATAGTCATTTTTGCAACAGTAAAATGCCTGATGCGGCACTTATTGAAGCTCCATTCTATGGGAACTGGTGATAACGGCGTTTCCATGAGCATGCTTTTGAATGTGAACAATCTGGAACACTTTCAAAGTCACTTCTTAATATAAGAATAATATAAGAATTCTCAACATTGAAAAAAGAAAAGTAGATGGACGTGAATCTTTCTACTATATAATTGTATATTGTTTAACGTCCCTCTCGAGAATTTTTCATGCATATGGAGACGCCACCACTTGCCGGTGGAGAGCTGCACATTTTGTTCTATACTCAGCACTTAGGGCCATTAAGCAGTGAGGGATCTTTTTCGCGCCAGTGCCTACTGCGACACGGGACCTCGGTTTATACGGTCTTATCCGACCGGTCTCAACATCCCACAGTGGGATTCGAACCCACGACGTAAGTATCGACTCCTTACTTCCAACTCTAGAGCAGATGCTCTAACCACTGCACCATGCGGGTGAATTCCTAGATTAAAGCCAAAGTATTATAATTTCTATTACTGTTAGGATAAAAATATTTGGGAAAATATAACAAACATTAATAATACTTTTACATATGAATTTGAACAAGTAAAAATTGACTACCAGTATCTACCAAGAGTTTAACATTTAATTCTTCCTTGAAACAAATACTTGGCTTGCTCTCTTTTACTTCATTCCATTTATGTAAGTGCTTTAATTTGACCTTAGATTTTTTTATCAATAAGAATAAAATAATCTACTGTGTGCTTTCAACTGCCCCCACACTCTTCAAGTAAAATTACATAGCAACGGTTTGAAATACATTAAGATTTAAGAAGGGTAACAATATAATAATTATTAGCTGCGCAGGACCTTTGCGCGCACATTTCACGATATTTTGTACTCAATGCAATTCAATTACTGTTGATTCGGCTACATCTTGGTCAACAATGATCATTTTCAAGGGATAACAATTTCAGATTTTATCCTTAAACGTGTCTTATCTTCATATTATTGAATGTAGTTGAGGGTTACACTGAAAAAAAATCTTGAAATATTTTTTGGAATATCACCATCCATGAAGCAACACTAAATGTTGCTATGGTCTTATCACACCGGAGGGCGTGGTTTCATTTTATGGAGGGAAAAAAGAAATACATTGATCCACTTGATATGAGTAAGATAGCATTTTTATTAAACTCATGACAAGAAATACCCTGTAGGGTACCCGGGTGTGGGGTTGGTTCAAGTTCTGATCAAGCAAGAACCATCATACTCATTATAGTGTACAAGCATTTTATGATACTGATGTAAACAGAGTATTTTTTTTATTTCTGAGCATTTTATACAAGTTACCAAGCAATCATATTGCAGGGACTCAAAACTGGTGTCAAAGTTGAAAGAAAATTTTCTGAAGGGTGGACAACACAACTACAATGTAATCTATGGGGAACAGCTTGACAAAAGAAAAATTAACAACCTACCTAATCCAGAATAAAAACATAAATCTATTTCGGGGAGGAATGGGGTTCTATGAGATCTTCCCACAATTTTCTTCATATACGGGGAAAACCTTTCAGTTACAGGAGGGATTCAGGTTTTTTTTTTTTTGGGGGGGGGGGGGCATTTTCTACTACTTTTTCATAAAAAAAAAATTCTTATTGGGGATGTCCCCTGACCCCTCTAAATCTCTCCTAATTATTTTCGGATATCAACTTTCATATGAATTAAAACATTTTTATTGTTTCTTAACTTTTGGTGATTGAGTATATTCGTGCTATACTTAGCATTGCTGAATACCGAAATTTTTCATGTAAAATTCATTTATAATGTATCCATGGTTACCATCTATTTACATAAATCTTCTAAATTATTTCTTTGAAGCATTTATGGCAAAAGAGTGCATTTTGAGTATGTGTGTAAACTAACGTAGTGACTGTATTCGTGTTTGTAAAGGTTCATTGTTCAAAAGTAGGTGATATTCTCAATTTATACTGTTTCCATGGCAACCAACACATATAGTAACCAAAATTTAATATTTTTCCAATTCAGTTTATTCAGTTAAGTTTATTTCCCTACTTACATGTTTTTTAAACCAGTATAGAAGTTTCTACTTTACATTGTTCGTTTATTTAACACTTAATCAGAGTGAACACAATACGTCCCAATAATGACCTCAATTTTTCAATTTTCCCATGTATAAATTTTTCTAAACTTTTTGTTATATATTCAGATCATATCATAGATTGATTAAAACTAAGTTTTGAAACTGTTGCAATTAGTTCACATTTTGAAGGAAAATTTGGTAATTTGACTAGACTAAGTGGTAGTCAGTGGCTGATAGGGGCAGTAAGAGGCTGGCTGATACTGAGACAGTGATAGGGAAATTACTAGTACACGGATATCTGCAGAACTGTACCTCTCCAAAAAAATATATATATTGACAGACCGGAGTATTTGGAAAAATTAATCCTGAGCCAAGCTCAGCTTTTTGTGCACAATAAACATACTGTTTTTTTTTTCAATGGGTGGCACTGTAGCTCTCCGGTCTGTCAATATATTTTACAGTTCTGCAGCTAGTATATAATAGCAGATGTAAAATGTAAAAAGAAAAAAAAAGAAAGAAAAAAAAACTGGGACGGTACAAGGATGTAAAATTAATGCTTATTACTGAACCTCTTGGGGGTTATTTGTCTTTTTAGCGGTAGTTTGGCCATTTTTCTAAAACCATCTTTGAGGATTATTGATGAGGCAGTAACTCATGAAATTATAATTCATGCATTCAATCGTAACCTGATATAAATATCGAGGTAACTAAAAAAATTAATACATTTTTGCCTGATTTTATATTAGATGTACACTCAGGAAGTTAGTTAAACGGCCCTTTGCAACTCGAAAGGACACAAATGCTTTATGTACAGTATGTAAACCCATTATAAGGGGATTACTTCGTGTTAAGATCACTGACTTCAAAGGCCAAAATCATATAATCCCATCGTTGTCACAAGACAAAGTTTTGTGGACCGCTATTACGTCTACAGAAACAATGTCCTACAAAGATTCATTTTCATAATTTTGACGCGGAAAACATATACAGTGTATAATTATGCAAACTGAGGATACGACAGTATACTCAGATTTTCAAATGTAGGTCGAGATATATAGTATCTTTAAATGTATATAATGATCTTATTTGTGATTTGGGCGGAAATACCTCTATGTCAACCAATCGAAAGGGCTCGGCATTATGTATTTGTTAAACTATCTAGTCACAGTAAGAAAAATAAATTAAAAAGGGAAGGCTAGACGGATAAGTCGAGGAAGTGTTTCAGTCTCCCAAATAAAAAAGGTGTCCATTCAGAAGAAATGAACTAAACTCGAGACATCATGAACGAGTCCAGCACAACAGAAAAGACTATGAGATCAGGATACGATCTCCCAGTATACGGACTGGCAAACGGACAGTTTCTTTACATACACATTCCGGCCTTGTTATGTATCTCTACCAGCTTCATCTGCGTAGTCATTGTTATTTTTCTATCATTTCGACACAAAGGCCACAAGACATTTTTCCGGTGGACGAGGAGTGAGCGTTTCGTGGTGTATTTGGCCCTCTGTGATGGAGGATTTAACGTCTCCCATTTCACGGACCATCTCCATATTGTCATCGTCAGAGGCCATGTCTATCCCAAAGAACTCTGCGAATTTTACGGGTTTAATTTGGCGGTTTTTGTTACTGCTCAGAACTTGATGGTCAATGTTGTCGCCATAAACGCCTTTATTTTGATCTACTTTAACAAGCAGATCCCGTTTGGTAAGAAGGATTATCGGCTTCTCCTATGGACGTTTGGTACACCTTTTGCGACTGCCGCCCTCGCTGGTATCTTAGGACAACTTGGGCCAAATGGAACATTGTATGTACCGAACCTCTTTTTATCTCTTTCTCATTTCAGTTTCCTCACACACCTAATGCAGCTATATGTTAAACAATGTATAACTTATTCTTTTCATGGCGATTATGCATCTATTTGCACGTGCTCCACCAGCAACATGTTTATGTCACTACTCGGCTTCCTTTTTCTTCAAATTCGTAATCTCTAATCTATAACTAAACATTGAAAATAATTACGAAGCAACCAATGTTTTAAACTTGTCAACCTGATTGACAGATTCGTGAAATCTTATGATTGATCCGAACATCACTATGTCTGTCTAGGTTTGTTTTTATGTATGTTTGTGTATTTAACGTCCCTTCGAGAACATTTCATTTATAATGAGACGCCAGCAGTTGCCGGTCAAAGGCTGCAAATTTAGACCTGTACTCAGCACTTAAAACCTTTCAGCAATGAGGGATCTTTAACGTGCAAAAACTTACTGCGGACAAAGGACATTGGTTTAACACAGTACAGTTTCATATAAAGGATCGGTCTATACACGTTCCTAATTGTGATTCGATCCTACGACGTAAACCCTTAGCGATGTAAGGATTAAATTCACACTCTGCGAATAAACGTTCTAACCACTGCACCACCGAGGCACAGTCTGTCTAGGTTATTAAAATGTTTAAAACATGCAGATATTTACACTGTAGGTGAATTGTTTTTTCCTTTATTTATTTTTATTTTGTTTAATGTCTCTTCATTTAAATTTTTTTTACTAATATTGAGATGAATAATCAAAACATCATGAAATGATATAAATGAAAAGATAGTACAACGTATTTTCAGGACCAAAAGGATAGCAGATAAATATTTGAAACTGCATTTGAAATGATTTTTTTTAAATACACATGTATGTCATTACATATAAGAAAAAACACATACACTGTAAAGGTAGTCAAATTGATATCAAAAACCATTCTCTATTTTAAGTATCTTTGTGAAGTCTACTTGTGTGCCAACTTATTTTGAAACAAACCAAAACTGTGCAAGGTGGCTTAGTGTTTTAAAGGAATTTCACAGAGAATTCTTAATTATTGATAAGGATATCGAAATCAAAAGCGATTAATCATGTATAATTATCCCTTTACTTGTGTGCCAAGTTATATGAAAAGACCAAAACTCTTTGATTCCGTTTCAGTTGCTATTTTGATGGCGTCATTTTTTGTAACCATGGCTAACCTTTTCTTCAAAAACCGTGCCTATTCTTGTTTTGATTGTCGTAGTGAACTTGTGTCCAAGTTCCTGAAATCAGACAAAAACTGTGGAAGGATAGCGTTTTTAAGGAATTTCACAGAAAATTCTATTTTTAGTAACCATGGCAACACCGTTCACGAAATCAAAAACATGCACTTTTTGTGTTGGCGTTCTTCATCCAGTTGTGTGCCATGTCCATGTAGAAGGAGTAGCGTTTTTAAGGAATTTCACAGAAAATTATATTTTTGGTAACCACCTGGCAACACCGTTCATCCAAAAACGATGCACTATTCTATGTATCTTAATTGTGTACTTGTGTATCATCAGAAAGAGGTAAAATTGTAGGAGGAACGTTTTGAAAAAGATTAAGAAGGCCGAGATCCAAGGCACTGAACTCTCTACTGTCGGTACATCAAATACCATCTCCTTATAAAACAAGAACACAACAGTCCTTCATCAACATAATTAGTGTCCTTATGGATTCACATTGTATAAGAGAAAAAATAATTTAAAAAAAAGTGGGGTTTTTTTATTGTGCAAGGTGGCTTGGGCGTTTTGGTCCCTTGATCTCTTAATTATTGATAAGGATATCATTGAAGCGATTAATCAGCGTATAATTATCCCTTTATATACGCCATTTAATGGAACAATTTAAATATCATGTATGTATTGTTTCAGACCAATTTTGACGGCGTTAAAGGAACCATAGCTAACCTGTTCTTCACCACCGTGCCTCTTGTTCTGATTGTCGTGGTGAACAGCATCCTATACATCCTAACGTGGCTCAGGATCCGGAAAGAAACCAAGCGGCTCCACCTCGGCGACAGCTCCCAGCTAATATCCGCCAACTTCACGGCCGCCAGGAACATGTCGCTGTTTGTGTTGGCGTTCTTCATCCAGTGGTGGGCCATGTCCATGTTTGGGATCTGGGCTTATTTCAATGATCAAATATAGACAAATCACATCAGTAAAGGTTATCACTGGTGAAAACAATTTTTCCAACATATGTTAACATTGTGATAAAAGTTAATATAAAAAGAAAAAATCCAAGCCAGATGAATTTTATCTTAAAAAGCTAAGAAGAAGGCCGTAAAAAGGCATGTGATACTTCTAATTTTTTGTCATTCAAATACCATCTCCCTATAAAACAAGAATACAACAGGTCTTCATCAACATAACTAGTGTCTTAATGGATTCAGATTGTAAACTTAAGAGAAAAATTAAATTGAGAAAAAAACCTTACGCAACACCAGATCTCTTTTCATTTTATTTTTTGTTTAAATAACTATACAATGTATATCATCACATGTCGACGACCATGGATATACCCATATTTTAATTGAACAATTAAAATATCATAATCATGCGTGTATTGTTAAGTCGATTTTGTTGTTTTAGACCAACTGTAAGATAGCTGGAGTACTTATATGTAACTAGGACCTGATAATCTGCCACCTCAATTGTGCTGAAAGGACGAAGGGATGATCTTTCAAAATAGAAACTATTTTAATTGTAAATATATTTTCTTGGAAAAAGCGTAACCAAGGAAGAAATCGAACACTTCAGAATTCACTGTAATCAGGTACAATTGACATGAACGAGTGTCTTTTTCATATACTTCCGCACATGTATACTTGAAAATATGCTTTATAAGATCACTTCACAGTATGTAAATGATGCACCAAGTTCCGTGAGATTTGTAAAATGCAGCAAATATATGCAATACACCTTATTTCCTTGCTGTTTGTATTATATTAGATTGAGATACCGGTATTTGATCATTTTTGTCATGTTTATATGTTAATCTTAGTCTGTTTTATACACTCTATTTGACAAATGTATCATATTTTCAAATTCTAATCATATATACCTGAAGAAAATTGTTGGTCTCTTATGGTATACATGTAAAAGAAAAATGTTTATATTGAACAGATGATACGTATTACTGTTTTATTTCTTTTAATGTTTGAAAACAAAATAGTGATTTAAGATGTGTATTTAAAATTATAAGCCTACTAAGTCAATTGAGGAACATTTACATATGGATTCAAGTCAAAAATGCCAAAAAAATGATGTATAAATTCTTTCACTGAATGCATCTTATACGCATTGAAAAGGGAGTACATCATGTATTTTCAAGTACTAAATTAATAGTAAATACATAGGGATGCACATTTTTTCAGTCACTTATGCAAGGTTTACATTGGGAAGTATTAAAATGTTATAAACATCATCTGCTCTGCATATTCCATAACAATAAAAATAAACAGATCAAAATTAATTTTAAAACTTTTAATAAACATACGGACCAGCCTACTCTTCCGCTTTTTATCACAATATTACCCTACTACGCCAAGAAAATAAATTTTACTCTTTGAAATATTTTGAAAGATTAACGTGGAAGGGAAACCATAATAATCATAAATTTTCAAAAACCTGCGACCTGATAATAATATTTTGTTTATTTTAGTCAAATTTAGATTACTAAGTATACGCTACTTCCTTAAAGTCTGAATGAACTCTTTTTAATTTTTGACGTCCGATTTTTGCAGTCAGTTTCCGATTGCTCACTTAAGGGGCCGACTATAGTTTTATTGTGAGAAAACTACAATAGCGAAACTCTTCATTTTTATACCATATATAACTTACATTAACTTAAGTGTAAATTTGGGGGAGATCTACCGTCCAGGTATTTTTGAGAGACCGTTTCAAAATGCAGGTACATTTACTATAGGTTTATATAGGAAAATGCCAATTTTTAGCACTTTAAAGCAAATTATATAAATACTACAATAGACATTTTGTTCAAACTATAATATTTGATGAGTAATACTATATTATACAATATATGTAAGAAACACAAAATTCTACCGTCTTGTTACCAGAGGAGGTATCTCAAAATGCCAAAAATTAGCAAATTTTACTATTTTTATAGAGTATTACTAAATACGATGTCCACAATGGATTCACATGAAAACATAATAAAAATATTGGAGATATTTTCAAATTTCTATGTGTTAAATTTCAAGAGCGTATGTTTATTACTTTTTCTTTAATAATATTTTTATTACCCCTTTCTTTAAGAGCTACAAATTATCATAACGTCAAAAACACACTGCAACGACGTCAACCTACCTATCAATTGCAAAATCGGTTAGAAAATCAGTTATATCAAATTGTAATTACATTTTTATACCTATAATTTCTTAATTTTGTTTAATTTTAATAATTAAGCGAAAAAAGTTTCATTAAAACAGTAAATACGCTTCATTTTACTATGATGCGCGAAATATTGCGCAATGGAAACTATAGTCGGCCCCCTTAAAACAAAATGATGGGAGAAAACACAAATTCATTGTTATCATGGTTAATCATATTCATCTGGATGATTAAAAAAATAATAAAAACATTAATACAAGAATTAAAGCTTAATGAAGTCCAAGGAGAATAGGTTTATTTTAGGTATTTTAATCTCAACAAATCAAGCCTGCGGTCGGACATGCCTTTATGTATATTGATGTATTATCTAGTGTTCGAAACTAAGTCTCACATGCTTCTCATCAGCCCCCAGAGTGGTAAATGATACGGCTATGATCAAAGAAATTTGAAAAACGAAGTTCTTTTGCCCGGCCATCATTAGTTTTCCGGAACTTGGCCATTAGTTTTCCAGGCCTGTACAGGTGAATAATACCACTGAACCATAAGTAGCACTGGACTGGGCAGCTGATTTTCTCGCGTGGCATTAATTGTACGGGTCTTGGAAGCTGAATAACCCGTGCGCCATTAATTTTCGGACCTGGGCAGCTGGATATACCGTGTATCATTTGTTGTCCAGGCCTGGGCAGCTAAACTACCACCACAAAACTAGTTTTCAAGACCAAGGTAACTACATCTTACGTGAATCATTAGTTATAGACCAGGGCTACTGAATTAACCATGCACCATATTAGTTGTTCGGGTCTGGATCGCTGAATTATCTGTGCACCATAATTTGTCTGGGCCTAGACAGCTTTTCCTGAGAACCATGCCATTAGTTTTCCAGGCCTGTTTAGGTGAATAATACCCCTGAATCATAAGTAGCGCGGAACAAGGCAGCTGGTTTTTACCGATTACCATTAATTGTACGGGTCTTGGAAGCTGAGTAACCCGCGTCCCATTAGTTTTTTGGACCTAGGCAGCTAAATTACCCATGCACCATTAGTTGTTTGGTCCAGGGGCTTCTAAATTAACCATGCACCATATTAGTTGTTAGGGACTGGCTAGCTGACTATCCGTGCACAATAGATTTGCCGGGCTTTCGAAGCTGTATTTCCCGTGACTATTGGTTGTCCGGACCTGGACATCTAAAATTACCCAATCGCCATTAGCTGTGCGAGCCTGGGCAGCTGAATTACCCGCGCATCAAAAATTGTCCGCGCCGGGCATGGGTAGCTGAATTACCCGTGTACCTTAAGTTGTCCAATCCTGTCCATACAGGTGAAATACTGTAAATGTATTATATTTAGCGTCTACGATATGTGGCGGAAATTGACTTTTGAACACATTTTCGAAGCTGTATTTCCCATAAACCATTAGTTGTCCGGTGTCGCATAATATTCGTTCCGGGTGTTTCGCGTTCCGGCCGGAACCTTAAAATCATAATATTCGTTCCGGATTTTACTGTAATATAGGTTCCGGCCATGAGTTCAATCTTTGAATCGCGGTATCTGTCCAGATTTCATTCCACATTGAGTCATGGAAGTAGTGGGGTTTTTTCTTGAGGTTTTAGCATGACGCCGCGACATTCTATTTTCGTGCGTCGCGCAATGTTTTGTACTTAGCAATTTAAAAAAAAAAAGATGAATAAATAGCCTGATGATACTCTTTCTGATACACATGACTTTGATCGCATTATAAGGCTTTGTTTATCTTATATATACAAATCGGTTATCTACAACTCAATTCCTTTTGTTTATTTAGTGCATGCCAGGTGTGAATCTCTCGCTTCAATGCACGCAAACCCGTAAACATTGTAAAGACAGGTAAAGAGCATGGTTAGGAGATAAACAATTTAAGACCGGGTTTACGAAAGACTAACATTTAAAGAAACAATGTCAAAGAATTAATTAATTGATAATTTTTTCATTTCAGAATTCGATAAAAGTAAAGAACAAATATTGATGATTATATATTTACCGTGTTTACGGAATTAAATTCTCTGTTTAAATGATATTACACGTGTTGACATTTCACCAAGTCGAGGCTCAAACACGGCTTCCATTCCTCATAATTAAAGATTTTTTTTCATAATTAGATATTATTGATGAAATGGCATGATGATAAGGTTTATATTCCATTTGAAATATGTATATGATTCACTGTTGAAGAATGTTACGTATATGGTTTATTTTCTTCTAAATTAACCTTCATACTATACATGTAGGTACAGTACATGTATTTCATGATGATGTGATTTATTCTGTAATGAAATAAACATGAAAACATAAGAATACGAGTATGGTTATTTCCTTTAATACCAAAAAAGTCAAGCACGTGTAATTAATGAAAATGATAATTTTTTTAATCGTCGGAAGAAAAAAAATAGTAATTGAGATATGAAAAGTAAAGGCAATATATGTTAACTGGCTCGGCTTTTAATTTAATACGATCAAGTTTTAAAAAAAAAAATCTTTTTTTTTCTTTTTCTTTTCTTTCGTTTTTTTTTTTTTTTTTTTTGCTATTTGTTTTAAAGGAATTAAAATGCACATTAGTGTTACCTCGACGAATGTCCTAACCACCAACCGCTTAAGATATGTGGTAAAAAAATTATTTCTGCTTCGGAGAAAAATATTAAATAAATACATGAAGGTTAAAAAAATGTACATTTACACAGGTACATGTAGGTTAAAGGTAAACTGCAATAATGTTCATGTAGCTGCGCTACGTGTTTTAAAAATCTCACCCCTTCTCCAATT